GTTATGTACAATCCCAAGCTCTAACAGCCAAAGACAACAACAAAAAAAACCAGGGACCTTGATCTTACTGAAAGAAAATTGCTGTATACTGGGGACACTCAGCTGATGCAGCAGTTTCCAGAAGTGGGGTATTCTCAGCATACACCAGTACTATTTCTGTACTAAAGAGTTCTGTATTTCAGAATGTATTACATACGCACAAGCATATATACACATGGTGATTAAATCATGGCAACAATTTTCCTTGTGTGTTGTTGCTGCTATCCTTTTAATCCTCTAGCAAAAACCTGAGATGAAAATATATTCTGATATTTCTGACGTAAATATAATATAGTTAACCTTTAAAGTACAACTTGGAGTTATTTCTAAGAACTTTTATGTGACAAGAAAGGGTAAACTTGTAATTATGCTGATTCTTTATTTGTAGTTTTCTGTTGTTTACTTGTTTGATGATCTTTTACAATAGAAAGTGTTTATTTTATTCAACTACATGCACTGTGGAAAAGTTAGATTCGTATAAGTCAGAGCACTCAAAGATAAGAATATAATTGCTGAAAAGTAAAAGGCAAGGAACACCAGCAGCTCTAGATCTTCTAAGTTTGGATAAATTTAAATTTGATCATTTTAGATAACAAGCATGCCAGACCAAGTTTTACTTCTGCAAAAGTGACTGGAAGGGAACACAAAGGATCACATTTTATACTCTCTGGTCAGAGTAGTGATTCTGTAGAAAAGGCCTGCTCTTTGAGGGCCAGAAGAGTAACACCCTGACCTCACTTTTCTATAAGAATTTCATAAGATGCCTAGGCCTGTCTTTTTAAGGCAACATATCAGAAGTTGTAAGTGTTCAGCAACTCTGAAAATTAACTATACTTTAGATGTAGTTGTCTAATTTTATTCATAAATGTGGTTAAGCTTTCATGATCCTTTCATGTATATTTGTGTCTATAAAATGGAACTGGTAATATAGTAGAAAAATAGATTAATTTTAAAACTTCTTGAATCTCATACAGAATGGAATCAAAGAAATGTTAACAAAGTCTCCCAATAAAATTTTCCATGAAAAGTGTAGATTTTGCCTATGAAAAGATCATAGATAACAGAAAGCTGTTTAGCTCACTGCCATGCAGTTTATATATGCACTTTAAATGTATCCTAAAAAATTGGGTTATATATTTTTGTAGTTTAGGTACAGCTAGGTTTTCATAGATTTTGTGTATTTCAGACAAGGATGATAATGACATGTTATAATCATTCCTCCTTCAGAAAGGAACAACAGGTTATCAGAAAGCCAGTACTTTCCACATAGTTGGCTACATTCCCTGTTAATATTTTCAGTCTGCAGTTTATTGTGCTGTTTAGTGGATACATTTGATGTATGACTATTTCTAAAAATAAATTTTTATAGAAACTCTTGTAGTTTTTTCAATCTCTGCTCAAATGTATTGAGATGTATCTTAAATGTCTGTATCTATTCTATGTATATTTTAAAAAGAAAAGTTTTCTTTGTGTTTTTTTGAATCATAAACTTTTCTTTGTTTGTCAGAAAGTCTTACACAGTTGAATCTTTCTGGAACAATGAGCTTTCAGTGTGTAGGAGTGAAACAATTCGTATTCCAAAAAGATGCAGCTTGGTCTTGCTGCCAGTACATTTTGTATAGTGCTTGAATGGCCCTATTGTCCTCCTGTGCACTCAAAATGAATGAATTTATCTTTCGAAGTGGAGCAGTTCTTTCTTCCCTATACCAATTCCCACTTCTGTGTCTGAAGGAGAGAACAAGACTGCGCTCTTGAAAGCATATAATTCTGAACTGTGAAAATTAGATTCCAGTGTACCTGTCACTCACCAAGCCTGGTTTAAGCCAAGTGGACAGTTACCAAAAAAGTTTGTTTGGACCATTGCAGAAATCACTTCACTTTAACGTACAGATGAAATTGGTTAATTTTCCACCTCCTTCAGTGCTGAAAATCAAATTCCTCACTTCTAATTTCTTAACCTTTCCCACTTCCTCATGCTGCAATTCAGTTCTTACACAGTTGCTGAATTTAAAACGTGGGAATAGTTATTTTCAATTGGATTGTTGACTTACTTGGGAGGGTTTTTGAGGGGTTTTTGGGAGGATTGATGTGGCTCCTTAGAGATTTTGGACTCAGTGCATTTAATTTATGTGCTTGCTATGTTTTGCGTACTTGGGTTCAAGTACAACAGACTTTGCTGTCTCAGTAGTGGCAGTAATTACAGTGAATGTGTGTGTGACTTCTGATGTCTGCGGAGTGCTTCCTCTTTGCTCAAAGGGTGCAGCTGGCTGAGTGAAGGCAACAAGTGGGCTGCCCAACTGCCAGAAGGACTGGGATGGCGCTGGCAGCTGGGGTATTGAGCAGAATATGTTGCTCCTGCTCCTTTGACATCCCCACAATTGCAGCTTTGCATAGGATATTGAAAAGAGCTTGAAATAGAATGGACTGAAGGAAACACAAGATAGAGATTTGCAAGATGGAATAGTAAGGAGTAGGTAGATAAGTAAAGTTACTTTCTGCAATGGCAAAATTCATTTCCTCGAAAGGAAATACTTTTTGCATGATTAACAGTTAAGAAATTTATGAAGTATGCTATGGAGGCCTTAAAGCATGTATTTGTTTAAATTCTTTGAGGATGTGGCTGTCAATGGCTATTAAGTGTGATTGCTTGACTGTAGCTAATTTTTCATGGACTTTCTGAGCTGGAATTCCCTAGATTGCTGGAATGTTATTTGGGAAGATGTGAGTGCACCTTCTCTTATTTACATTTTTTTTATGACCATTGCCAGCAGCAAATGCTTAAAGGGATGCTCTGTTCTAGGTGAACTTTTGATCTGGCTAAATGTTTTGATCCTATTTTAGTCATCGTTTCTTTGTTATTCTTTTCTGTCCTCAGTGAACTAGTCTGGACATAAGAGTATATTAAGCTACTATAAATTATGTTTCCTGGCAGTCATTCAGCACTTATTAAATAAAGAATGTGTTGTGATGTTATTAATGTACAAGTGTAGTCTCATTACCTGGACTTTTTAAGGCCAATTATAGACGTAATTGAAACCTGCATCCAATTTACATCTCAGAAGCACAAACCACTTAATTCTAGGAAGCTGAAGGGTTGTTTTTTTATTCATTCTGTGTTGTTTGGTTGATTAAAGACGCTACTATACTTTTCTATTCTCCATCCTTTTTTTTTTTTTTTCTTAACCTTATTTTATGTTTTTGTTTTTCTTGCTGGTCTTGTCCGCTATTGAATTCATGCTCTAAATGCCCAGCCCTTTCCCATAGAACCAGTCTTTGAGGATGAATTAGAGACTCTGTAGGCTTCACAAAGCTCTCTGGTCTCTTGTTCTCTTCTAAAGCAGATATGTCAGCATCAAAACCATTGTTTTAAAGAAAAACTGCATGAGAGAGGGATGGAAGATTAGGGAGAAGAATAAAAAATGTTGCAGGATATGAGAGTAAAGGAAAAGCAGAAATATCTAAGAAATGATTATGTGAAGAGTAGCTAATCTTGAGTACTTATTGAAAAGTTATTCCTTTTTATAATTTTTTACACTAAAATGCATGAACTCTTATTTGTGTCTTCTGTTAGATTTAGTCTTACCAGTCATAGCTAAAAATGATATTTTTTATTTGCTCATCCTTGGAATAGTTGATGAAGTGAAAAGAGTTTTTTGAAGTGTCCTCTCTATGTGAGCTTTAGTACTGTTATAAAATTTGAAAATCTCATGAAAAGAAAATTGCTGGTGATGCCAGCTTGGGTAAATTTTTACTAGAAAAACAGCTTCTTCAAAAGCAGGTATCACTGCTGAAGCTATTCCCCTCCAGTACTTTGGCATTTTTTTTTCAGATCACTGTCAGCTACATGTCATATGAGAAGTAACAAGGTGAGCGTGTTGCAGATGGTAAGGGGTTGAGTGAGATAGTTTCTGGTTTTGTTTCTGATGCAGTTAATATATCCAAGAATTACGCTAATATTCCTAGAAACCACAGAATTGTTGAGGTTGGAGGGGGAATTCTGGAAGTCCATTCCCACCCTGTTCCCTGAACAGGTCCACTTCAGTCCTTTGAGGCTGACCAGAATCCAAGTCCTGGTTCCTCCTCAAGATCTCCAAATGGGGACCTCTCAATGTCTCTGGCAGCCCATGCCAGTGCTCAGCCACTGACGCAGTACAGAAGTGCTACCCGATGGTCAGAAGGAAACTCCTGTGTGTATCCATTGCCTCTTGTGAATTATATGTTAGATGACTGCCACTGGATAACCATGTAAATTAGTTTCAGAAGGAAATACCAGTGATTTCCAAAGTAGATCAGAAATATGTAAATACAGCTCAAAAATGTGTCCATTTAAAAGAGGCTGTGATTTCCTGACTGTTTATTCAAGATTGATTTTTAAGGATGTTGCTTCACAGTGGAAAAACTAATTGGTTTAAGCTAAACATGCTTAGTATTTCTAAGAATTAGACCACTAGTAAATCCTAGTCCATTTGAGTGGTTGTATAGAACTTTTTTCAAAGACATGCTTGAGATGCTTAGTTCATATAATAAATCAGAAGCATGAGCAATGAAGATTTAAGAGAAAGTTGTCATTGTTTTTCTTAAAATCAGTCTATTTAAAAGCAGTCAAAACTGCTGTTAGTGAAAAGGAAACAGTTTTATAAAAATTATCTCACTACTAAAGTATGATATAAGGTAGATTCTTCCATTTCCATCAGCAATTTCATGTAGTCATTTAACATTTTTTCTTTATTAATAGTTACAGTGCATTTCTATCAATCAAACAATATCATTTTGGCAACTACAAGGATAATGTTTGAACATAATTTTATATAGATTTATTTAATGAATTAGGAGGAGGCCTGCATGTTGTGGCCAAAATTTGTATGACTCTTCTTTGATGTTTGGACCATGCTGATTTAATTGTTCTGTACATGTTTGTTATTGGATAATAACCAATCAAACTTTTATTACCTTTTCCGTAGGACTTTAAGACAGGATTTGGTATCACCTTAATCCCTATGAATGTGGCAAATGTAAAACAAGTGGATCGGGCTGCAAAACAAACTTTTGAAATAATTACTCCTTACAAAAGCTTCAGGTAAGATCTTCAATATTGATAATAGTAATATTTTAATGTTAAGTTATATAACTAATGTTATTAATATTGTTAAAGTACAAACTATACAAATAAGTAATATGCTGAAAAATATTGCTTCATATGGTACTAACATAACCCAGTTTAGTGAAAAGATAACATTTTTTTAAGAATGCTCACTTTTTTCTTTCCACCAAATAATGGAAGAATTTTCTTTCCACTATTTAACTTTGTTCTTCATCTGTTATCTCCCTAACTACACATCCAGTGTCCACAAATGCATGTTTTTGTCACCATCTTCTTCATTTTATGCAAAAGCAGAAGAAAATAAAAACTCACTTTGAAAACTTTCCTTCATCTTCATGATAAACTACAGTAGTGAAATCCTCCTGCATTCATTTAATATTAGGGATTTTATTTTTAATGGAAAGAATTAAGTATGTTCGACCCCTTGTAAAAATCCTCCATTGAAATCAGTACAAAACTTTCCTTTTGCTGATGCTGTGACTTGTAATGAATTTTTTTAAGAAAATAAAAGTGTATGCTAGCAAAACTTTTTTTCTTAAATGTGTGGTTTTTCTTTAGTAATGCAGAAGAAGAAGAAATTGCTTTATTCTCTGTGTGTATGTTCTCTAGTGTTAATCTTGAGAAAGGTCGCTGAAACGCAAGCAATGTTATTTGATTCTCAGGGGCCCAGAGAACAAGTAAATTAATCTTGATCAATGATTTGAGTCTGTGGCTAGTTGGTAGATAAGTAGATCTTTGATTTTCTCTAAGCCATCACCATATCTACTATTATTTCTGTTTTACAAAAGGATCAATTTAAAAGGAAGGTAATTTTTGTCTGTTAGGTAACGTCTGCTTTTACTCTTTAGTAACTTTTGTTAGTAAAGTTTATTGAGGTGTTTCTAAGCTTTTTTGAAAAAATCAGACTGTTTGGTATGTGTTGGACTTTTTTTTTTTAAAAAAAAAAACACGTTGAAAGTAACTCAGGAGCATAACAAGTTTTATAAAAGCTGTGTAGCTCATGCTAGCAGTGCTTTTATTGATAACAAAACAAAGACTGAGGGAATTTCACTGTTGAAAACGAAAAATAATTTTTATTTATATGTGTGTAGTGGACTATTTTTTGACAGAGATTTCAGATATAAATGTAATAAATAAGAAACTACAGATTCTGTTTAATTGGGCTTTAAAATAAAGATCAATAATGCAGAAAAGTCAATTGTTTCAGCTTTACAGCAGAATCGGAAAAAGAGAAACAAGACTGGATTGAAGCACTGCAGGAATCGATAGCAGAAACTCTGTCTGATTATGAAGTAGCTGAGAAGATTTGGTTCAATGAATCCAACAGGAGCTGTGCTGACTGTAAAGCTCCCAATCCTGATTGGGCATCCATCAATCTCTGTGTTGTCATTTGTAAGAAGTGTGCAGGTAGAGTAATTAATGAGAGGCTGTGTGGGTTTTACAAAATGTCATATTTGCATATCTGTTTATGTCCTTGAATTGGCTTTTTTATTTTTGAAGTGGTTCCTTTGGAAGTTTTAATACCAAGTATATCCTTATTCTAAAACACTTTCATGTGTAAATGACAGTCTGGATGATGATTGGTTTCCCACAGATGAATAATCTTCCACAATTAATGGAAATCAAGACACACTAGCACTTCTTGGGAAATTATTTGTTTTAGCATTGATGCATTCCGAAAGATAACAATTTGCAGTGTATAAATTTGGAGTATTTATTACATCAGGTCATATTTTCATTGCCAATAGAGATAGCATTTTCAGATACTACGTAAAATCTTTTTCTGTCATGTTTTAAATTTAAGTATGTGCGTAAGATTTAGAGGCAGTGAAGTGCTTTATAACTCCAAAACAAACTTTTCCAAAATATTCTATGTGGAAGAGCCTTTGTTTATTAGTTATTATCAAATATACAAAATTTGTATTTCAAAATTATAACCTGAAGAGGACTATTTCTGTGCCACGTGCAATCCATATCCTTCTCTCTTTTTCCCTCTCACCCCCTTCTTTTCCTTTTTCTGTGTGCTTTTGTGCTTTTCTATCTAAAAATATATATTGTTAAAAAATGATAAATAGATCTGCTTTCATTAAATACATAATTTTTTTTAGCTCAGAAGAAGAGTTAACTCAGTTTAAGTGTTTTAGTTAAGTAAAAATGCTGTTGGATTTCTAGGACAGCACCGATCTTTAGGACCAAGAGATTCAAAGGTCAGGAGTTTAAAAATGGATGCCAGCATTTGGAGCAATGAACTAATTGAGGTACGTTGACTTATTCCAACTCTTTCTTAAGTTTTGAGAGGAACCATATGAATAAGAGTTTTTCACTTTACTTACAAGAAGTTTTAAAGCATACTTGCTAAAATATACCTCTGTTATTGTAAATCAAATGTTTCTGGGAGTACTGTACCTCTTGTGTTGTTTGAAATATTTTATTTTAAGGACTATCTGTATCAAGCACCTAGGTTTAGGGATGAGGAAAAGTAACAGGAATACTTCAGGAGAGTTGTCATGATGCGCAATATTGGTTTAGGGAAGAAGGGAAACTCACTACCAGGTTAGGTGTTTGGACTGTTTAGAAGTGATGCTTCTAAAGTGAGTTGAGTTATTGCTATTTTCTTTTTAAAAAAGTGCTAGTCTTCTCTAACCTTCTACTGGCATTTTCTAATCTTTATTGAAGCACTGTAACTAGTTAGCTTTGTTAATTGTGGTACCTATTGCTGGAAAATTATGACATGGGCTTTATTACTAATTTATAGATTGACACAGTAACTGGGAAAGGATTCCATTTAATCTTATGCAGGCAATTTGCTCTTGTTCAATTTTTTTCCTTAATTTATAGCAGCTGAAAACTATTTAGAATCATTAATGATATTTGTTTTCTCTTTAACTTCAGCTCTTTATCATCATTGGGAATAAGAGAGCAAACATTTTTTGGGCAGGAAATCTTCCTCCGGATGAAGAGCTGCACATGGATGCCCCTGCAGAAAAAAGGATTGCATTCATTACACAAAAATACAAAGAGGGAAAATTCAGGAAAACACCCTTTCCCTACAAAACCAAAGAACAATTGAATAAGGTAACATCAGAATGAATAAGCTCTTACTGTAACTTTTGTAGCGAATTGTATTTGTGTGTGTTTTAGTCATCCTGTTAAACTGCTGAGGAAACAAATTCAAAATCCTGAGGGACAAGCTTCGCAGAGCTGAATAACTCCTACTAGGGAAGCCTTTGCAAGAGTCATTCTGTCACTTATAACTTTTCCAGTTTGTTTGTTGAAGATTATGGTACTTACGTTGTACCTGTAATAAGTACTCCAGAGTGATCAATAAATACACATCTCTATTTCTTTTCCAAATGTGCGCTTCAATGATGAAAATTCCCACTACAGTTCTTTAGATTCCTTCTTAATGTTTTTTAATGTATTATGTCTGACATCTATCATACCAATATGTTAGATGGCTCGGTGTTATCAGCAGTAGCTCATGCATGCTTTCATATTGGCTTGTAGTTAATTGGAATTGAAATAAGCTAAAATTAATGAAATGATGAAAAATGTGAGTTCTGATGTTTCTTTTTGCACAAATAACACAAGTAAATTGCCTTAAGTGGAAAATGCTAATTATCACTTGTGCACAGCTTTTTGTCCATTTGGCTGACTTGTATTGTCTACTGATCTCAATCATGACTGCTTAAGGTTTTTGAATATGAGGGAGTTAAAAATGCATGTATTTTACAGAGCTAATTCATACAATTACGTATTAGCGAAATTGTCTTAGAATATATAGAGACTGTGGGGAGCCAATATCATTTGAAGGCTATTGTGCTTTGAACTAGTAAGAGTGGTGAGGCACTGGAACAGGTTACCTAGTGAAGTGGTTGATACCCTGTCCATGGAGACTTTCAAGGCAAGGTGGAATCAGGCCTCGGGCAAGCTGATTTTTAGCTGTGTGTTCCTGTTCATTGCGGGGGAGTTGGACTAGGTGGCCTTCAGAGGTCCCTTTCAACTCAAAGGATTCTATCATACTATGAAATAGAAGCGTCTCACATGAAAATATATATATATATATATATTGCAGCAAAAACATGTTAGTGGAGTTATTATATATAAGAAGTCAAAGCAAAGGTATTTGAAATACTGCCACCTCTGAAAAGCATCTAGTCAAAATATATAATCATCTCACTGTGTATTTTGAATTCAGGTTGTCTGCATTTCATGGGAATCAGGAAATATTTTTAGTCTTTATGGGGAACTATTTGTCTTCAAAAAATAAAACATTTGGATTGATTATTACTATTAACTTATAGCCTTTATACAAGACTTTTGTATTGTAACTGCTGGCTACAGGAAGTAGAAATAGCTCTTTGTGGTTTACAAGCTTGATTTTTTTTTCTTAAGTCTTTTTTGGTGTAGAAGTGTCTATTTCACCATTTAACTACTGGGAAATGTAATGATGGAACTCTCTATAGAGACATGAAATTACCATGTAATAAGTAGTCACCATAAGTAATTATGGAACTTCTACTGAACTATCTGCCATATTATCTTTTGCCTACTAAATGCTATGTGTTTATTAGAGTAGCTGAATTTTAGGACATTTGTATTTTGAGCGACTTCTTTCTTAATCATTTCAGGAAAGTTCATCCATTAGCAAAGTAGTTTAAATAAATTTTAAATTGTAGAAATTTTTATAGAGTAGATTGCTGTAATTGCAAAAGTACTGCTGGATTTAAGGTTTGGGGACATCTCAGAAGGAAAAAAAAAAAGATTTCTCTAAGTTTTTCTGTCTTCATGCATAGGAAAAAGAACTTTATGTTGTAGGATGTGATTAAATCTTGAAATCTAGAAGATCTTCAAGTCTAAAGATACCTTTAGGAATGATAGATTTACTGACTGTGACTTTGACTTTGAAAAACCACCCATGATTTCAGCCTGCTTCCAATAGCGTACAAGAATTAAATCTAGTTTCTTTGGTTGAACTTTTGAGGTCTGGAATAAGTAGTTTTCCTTAGTAGTTTAGTACGTGAAGAAAAATGAGGAGAGAGAAAGGATTTTTCATATAAACAAATAATGAATTGTCCCCACAGTTGTATTAATTCATGTTAGCATGCCCTAGGAAAACAAGTGGCAGCAAAAGCTTGCAAGACTTGGGGTGATGTTTTTCTTCTTTGTTGCTTTGTAGACCATAATTCATGATTTCTGCTGATTCCCAATGTTTATGAAACTGGAAAATGAGGATGATCTATATTGAATGTGAAAGAATTTTTACCTAAATAATAAGTATTTGTTGCCTATAACTTTCTACTTTTAAACATACTACTTATTTTCCTTCTATATGATAAGGCCCTGTGTGCTGCTGTAGTTAAGCAAGATGTGCTAGAAACTCTGATGCTGCTGTTCAGTGGGGCTGATGTAATGTGTGCTACTGGTGATCCTGTTTACAGTACTCCATACTTATTAGCTAAGAAAGCTGGACAAAGACTGCAAATGGAATTCCTCTACCATAATAAGTTCTCAGGTAAGATATTTTATCTCTGAGCAAACAGGAAGGGAAAAAATTAGAAAAAGAATGGTGTTGAGTTGAGCAATGATGGTATAGGGGAGGAAGCAACACGACATTAATTGTATTTTAGCAGACTGCGTATGTAAATTGTGTATGTTACTTTCATTTTACTTGGACATCAACTTTAGTTATTAAAAAGATATTAGTCTACAGTGGTTCATACCACTTACGCTTATTTATAATACAGCAAAAAAAAATCATCTGCTTTGTATTATTAAGCTTTAACAAGAAGAATGGGTACATAGAATATATTTTAAAAAAAGAATTAGAAGTATTTATCAGGCTTTTTTTTTCTTACAAGTTATTTCTGTTGATGTCTGCCTTTACTGTGCACAGTCCTACAACTCTCCTCTTTAGCTTGTCATAGAATCTATCCTAGAAAACTACCCTTTTTCAGGTTATAACTGCAATTATAGCATGTAGAACACAGTAAACATTGGCCTTGGATGTCAGCAGGTCTGATCTCCGTGACTTTTTCCGGGCACTTGAAATATTCTTAAAATATAGTTCTAGTGAATCAGTTTTTGGTACCCATAAAATCAATTTTTTGTATGGATGTGCCTGGCCTTCCCTTTTTGAAAGATTTTCCAGTACCTGTAGCAGTCTGGGAATGAATGTTCACACACAGATTTGTACCGAAAAAAGTTAGCTATGCTAATCCAGCAGGAACTTCAGACATACTCTCCATTGTCTCATGAAACTCTGCAAAGTAGCACTTGATAGGCTGAACTCAAATTCTTTTTTAGTGAATGAAAAAGGCAGAGAAGTTTAGCAGAAAATAGACTGTGTTGTGTTCCAGCTTCTCCTCAGATATCAAAGGTCTTGGGAAAGCTGAACTTAGATTCTGAGCTATGCTCAATTTGGTGCTGTGTGTCTGGTTGCATTCAAAGTATGAACTTTCACAATTACGTATTCACAAGCAGCTCACTGCCCAATTGGCCTTGTCACTTTTAAACGGGTTCTCACAATCAGTCTTGAGGAGTTTGACCATGCCCAGTGAGAACTCCTATGCCTAGGTTATTGAATAGTGCAGTTCATTAAAACAACAGATTCTTTTGGATTGCCAGAGATAAGATTACTTGTGTGCAAAGTATATGAGATTAACCACAAGAATAGAAATAATGCAGCCAGCCACAAATGCATTAAATCATGGAAAAGCTCTATAAGGATTTCTAAGTTTCCTGAGGGAAAATCTTGGGATAACAGAGTGTGAGAATCTTACCCAGTAGGCATCCCTACAAGGAAACAGGAAGAGAGGCTCAATCTGTTGAGTGAGAAACCTAGAATCCAGCAGTGTCCTCCTGACTTGTCTGTGATGATATTTTCCCCTAAATTCCTCCTCTCTTAAACCATTTTTATACTGCATGACATTTTTTTGATGGAAAAGTGGAAAACTGATAGCTCAGGGCTAGCTCGGGAAAACAAGATCATAGAATCATGGAATGGGTTGAAAAGGACCACAGTGATCATCTAGTTTCAACCCCCCTGCTATATGCAGGGTCTCCAACCACCAGACCAGGCTGGCCTTGAATGCTTCCAGGGATGGGGCATCCACAACCTCCTTGGGCAACCTGTTTCAGTGCATCACCACTGTGACTACCTTCACAGATGTGAAGATAATTAATCAGTTTGAATAGTATCCCCATTCCTGCAGGATGATCGCAGGGGTTGGCCACGGTACCTCCACACCACTCCACACTCTGTGTTGTTTCTTTCTTACGATATCAGGATTTCTTGTTTGCTAATAATTGGGTTTTTGGATCTTATATTACTTAGGGAACTATCATAGAATGAATTATCTACCACATCTGGCGGCTTACCTCCTCTCGAGAGGAGAACCTTTCAATAAGTTATCTCTAGTAAAGTAAATATTCTACCTATTCCACCCTGAGAATTTTGTCACTTAAAAATCACAATATTTAGCAGAAACCAGGGAGGTCACATGCAGCCTTGTTATTAGGGGCTCTCAGGCAGCTCACTGTTTATGGATTAAGATGATTGATTGATAGTTATTAATAGTATTATGCAGAACAGTGTTATCAGATCTGAATAAGACCTTAGGCATAAAAGCCATACTAGAGGAGAAAGTTGAGGGTAAGAAGGAGCATACTTTCACAGCATGAAATGCTGGAAGAACTTGGAGCTTTCCAGAGCAAATGAGGTGCCTTGAACCCGAATTTTGTCAGAAATGCCAAGCATTTTTTTCCTAGGTCATTGAGCTCAATCACTATTCACCACACAAACACACAGATACGGTGGTTTTTGGAGTGGTGGTGTTGTTGTTTTTTTTTTTTTTTTTTTCTGTATGTGTGGTTGTTTTTTTTTTTCCCTAGTTAAGCTGTACAATTGCCCTAAGGCTATAGAAAGAAGTTTGCTTCTTTTGGCTTTGTGTTTTCTACTTGCAATCTTTTAGCCAAGGCAGTATTGCTGTGTGGTGGATCTGGTGTTTGTTCCTTCTCTTCAGAGAAAGGATGTCATGACAGAATCCCAGTGATTCTCTGAATCATCATCTGTTTGTGGTGAACTTCTAGACAAGCCCTCAAGAGAAACAGTTCCCTTCTGTTCAAGTATGTTACAGTAAGGTGTGAAATCTAGCATGGTAAGCTAGAAAACCATATTTTGGTTATGTTGACAAGCAGTGTTAGACAATGGTAATGTGGTAACTGAAGTAAACTATTTTTGATGAATACATAAGAATTTTCTTTTGATTATAAAAATAGAAAAATTACAATATACATCTGTTCTGAAGCAAGGAGCTTATGGAGCAAATGTGTATCTGTAGTTATGCAGGTACGTGGAGAAGCAGTTATAACTGATAGTAGAGGAAGTTCTATATTTTGTTTACTCTTTTGTCTTTTAATAGATTTCCCAAACTTTGATACCAGTTTTGAAAGCGGCTTCTCTGAAGATTCTTCGCATTCCACTTTTCTATGTGAATTTCTATACAAAGTTTCTTCTAATTCAACCAAGCTTCTTACAGAGAAGAAATTAAAAGAAGGTATTTCACTTGTACTTTATGCATTTGAATAATACATGAATATGCACAATATAGATTAATTTGGTACTTTTCAACATCTTGCATTACTTTAAAAAAGATAAAATGTCTTTGACTTCCCATATCCTCTTTTGATTTCATGGACTTTTGTCAGATAAAGAAAATCCTGATTGTCTTCATGTCTTTGTTCAGTGCTTGACAGAGGAAATTAAACTAGTGAATAATTATTCAGTTAACAGTTATTGATAAATAAAAATATTTACAAATACTTCTCACTTGAATTACACCTAGGAGGATGCTGCTAGCTGACAAAGTATTTTCCATTTGAAATTATAATATTCCTGAAATAATCTCAAAAGCATTCTTATATTTTCAGTAAGTTCAATTGAATAACTAAGATATAGCTCAAGCTTACAAATTTCAAAAAGGATCCCAAGTGGAAATGAGCAAATCTTAAAAAAATAAAATGAAATAAATTATAACAGATTAAGCTTTGTGGTTTGGAAATTTGTGCTTTAGCATAGTACATATCATCAACAATCATGTTCTTATAGGACTATTATTGAGAGAGACAGAGCGACAGGTAATTTTTCCCCTTTTTAAATTTCTGTATTTTTTTTCCATCCCAATAAACAAGTTGTCTGTTTTTAAAATATGAGCTAGTTCGTGATTTAAACTTATTCCTGAGAAAATCTTGATTAAATATTTCTGTATGCCAATATCCATATTCTGATGGTTTTATGTTTTTATGATCCTTAGTGGAGATTAGGCACACACACAACTCCCACTTAAATACACTTTTGAAGTATCTACCTGTTAATGTTGGTCCTAATAGTCAAAAGTATTGGCTGGTCATCAGAACTAATTCTCAGCCAAGGCATTCAAACAGTTATTGGTAAAGACATCAGACAAGAGCCCTGGGCTGCTGCTGGAAAGGACTTTCTTGTGGATTGCTCTGAAACTGGTCTGAGTTTATCCAGGGAAGAAAGGAATTAACCACCAACCTCTTGTATTCACTGCAGCTTGTGTATTATACATAAATACATATGTATATATATAGGTGGGCTCTGAAAGTAATGCCTTCTATTTATTTCTGTGGAAACCACAACAGATACAAAGAGCACAATAACACTTTTTGATGGAGCCAACCCTCAATTACAAAACATTGTTCCTAGGAAAATATTGCCCCTGCAGTTCATCTTTCATCATGTCAGTGGATGCCATTTTATTAGCATGGAAGAATTCAGAAGTGCCATATATTTGCTTCATATGCACTTCTGTGTCAGACACCATTTTGTCAGATTGTTCCCCAGATTGCCATCTGTCAAATGGCAACAAAATTTAATGGATTGTTATATAGGTGGGAAGGTTCAAGCTCTACTGCCATATCACGAACATCTGCCTCTGATATCATGGGCCAACATAGTAGGATAGGAAGCATTACTTTTTGAGCAGGCATGGTTATATGTATGCTTTTGTCATTTAAAAACAAGCAAACTGGGAAAAACAATACTGGGAAGAGCGAAGAATAGGTACAAGGTAATGCTGCTGGTGTCTCTTCAAACACAGTAGAATATTAGAAGTGCAGTTTAAGTTTGTAAGCAGACAGATTTAAGAGTATGTATAAATGCTCACAGAATGTCTTACATTGTGCTTGTTGGGGAGATGTTGTAGGAGTGCAGAAGTCAGCTTCACTAGCAGGGTAACATAAAATTTAAGAAACAATGGAATTTTGTCAGTCTTCAGAAATGAGATTGCTTTCAGACCATGTAGTCTATTACTTATCAGTTCACTTAGCACTTTAATAAGGCTAACAACAACAACTAAGAAAATTACAGTTTTGAATTAGAAACTGCTCTTCTCTGAGGACTCTAATATTCTTCAGCCATGTGTAAGAAGTATTATGACTTTTTAAGAACAATTTACAACATAAAACTTACAATTTTTTTTCCCCATTGACCTGATTTTATTTCATTCAAGGGCTGTGTTCTACCTTTATAGAATCTGATTAACATGAAATAATCTATAATGTGCATATCCCAAGTTATTGGGAGTAGATATGTGTGCTTATATATATACCTTTGTATACATTTTGTATACAAACATAAACTACATATTTAGTACATATGGTACTAATAGTACTACATACTACTACTTGAAATTTTATTACTTACTATCTTCAGGAAATAATTTGATGGTTATCATAAAAAATGTGTAAGAGATAAAGTTCGAGTTCTCTCTTTGGCCAATAGATATTCCAATGAGAAATTATCTCCCCTTCCCCCCCCAGAAAAAAAAAGTTCCATCTGGTCAGTGTTATAGAAAGGAGCTCATCAGCTGAAGCAGCTGTGATTTGTTGCTAACTGAATTCTAACTGGACCAGAGAGAGATCATTGGATCACTTGCTCTTAACTGGGGATTAGATTACTTGTCTAATTTTGGGGCCCTACAAAAGAGTAGACTTTTAATTGTCATTTGTTGAAAGGGCTCTCAGCCAGAATCAATTTGAACTCTCTAAATATTAAATTAGTGCTTTAAGTTCAAAATTTCCTTCTGAGTCAAGGCAGCCTTGCCCTTGGTGACAAGGGCTGAACATTTAAGTGCTTTGTTTGCCAACACAGGCAACTTGCGGTATCCTCTTGTGTGCTGAGCCTTAACTGCAGAAAGAAACTCAAGAACTCATTCAGTGCTGTGAATTGAACCCAGTTTCTATAAAAGTTAGGTACAGCATCTGAATCACAGCATTGCAGAATGGCCAGGCTTGGAAGGAACCTCAAGTTTCATGAATGTCCAACCCCACATGCAGGGCTACCAACCTCCCCATTTAATACTAGACCAGGCTGCCCAGGGGCCCGTCTAATCTGGCCTTGAACACCTCCAGGGACAGGGCAACCACAACCTCTCTGGGCAGCCTGTTCCAGCACCTCACCACTCTCTCTGTAAAGAATTTCCCCCCGACATCCAACCTAAATCTTCCCTCCCTCCACTTCAAACCATTTCCCCTTGTCCTGCAGTTATCTACCCTTTCAAAGAGTTGATCCCCTCCTGTTTGTAGGCTCCCTTTAGGTACTGAAAGGCTGTAATTAGGTCACATTGCAGCCTTCTTTTCTCCAAGCCCAGTTCCCTCAGCCTGTCTTCATTGGGGAGGTGCTCCAGTCCCCTGGAAACACAGTATATTTGGGGGGAGAAAGTTACTGATAGTTAACACCTGTTAATGATCAGCAGGAAGAAAGCTCATTGCTGCTATTCTAATGCAATATATCATAAAAAAAAGATGGTGTTTGATCTGAGTTTAATTTTTCTGCTTCTGTTTTTCATGAAAAAGTTTTAATGGAATTCTGTTAAAAGCCATAGTATTCTAAAGTTATTCTTGAAGGTTGTAATAGTTTAGTCCATGTTGAAGCAGTGAGCCATTTTGTAGAATGGGCACACTTTGGGGTAGCAAATGGAAGAAAATTATCAAACTCTTCAAGTATTATGCTCAGCTCCTGTGAACCTATATGTCTTCAAATACCTTGTTCTTTTGTATTTGGATGTCTATTTAGATAGAATACGGATGGAACTAGATAGAAACTAGAACGATATCCAGTAAAAGATAAGAAAACAATATTCAGATACTTCTAAATATGCATGACTCACAGAAAATAACATAAAAAATGAATTGGGTGAAATACCAGACTTGCTCAGCATCTGTGTATTATCACATGTTGAAAGCACTGAGTAATTAGCATTCTGTTAACTACAGTGTTGTTTAAATGAATTTAACCTTGTCATGTACATGTAAGAATAACAACAACAGAAATCTTCAACACATTCTAATATGAACATGCAATCCTGAAACAGCTATAACTACCACTTGTCTATGATATTTCCATTTATCTACCCCAGTATTTAGGCATAAATTCCGTACAATTTCATTATTATTTGACACTTGAGCCTGTAATAGAGGAGAATTGAGTTCAGCTGCAGATGTATCTTGAAAAGGTTGTTCAATTAGTTTGTTTCTTCTTCAGTTTGACATCTTACTCTATTTTGGTTGCATATGTTTAAAAATATTTTTGACAATGTTGAATAACATAGTGTCTTTGTTTTTCTCATAGTGTACGATGGATGTAATTTCTATCATGTATTACACTTTTTAAGTTCTGTAGTATAATATTTAAAAATACTTTCTTAAACTACCATATGCTAGATTTTCTCTATGTTAAATAGTATCAGTTGACTCAAACCTTGAATTCCTTGCTCACTGAAATCAATGAAACTGAAATTTCAACATAAATGTCTTAATGTTACAACAGAGCCATGTGTCCTGTAAGGCAACTTCTGCAGAAGGAGGTAATTTGTTTCTTATTAAACCAACTGACTTATCTATTATTTCTTTAACCACAGATTGCAACAAAAGATGGTGCACTTTGGAAAGTGGCTTTCTCAGCTACTATGAAAATGATAAAGCTACCACTCCTAATGGTATGCTTGACATCAGCGAAGTTATCTGTCTTGTAGTGCACAATTCGGATTACTTTTTAAACAGAGGGTATGTTCCAAAGTTAATAATTCAGCAAATAAAAATTTCCAAAATTCTATTATAGGTGTCAGTGCCTATCATTTTGTTCCTGAATTTTGAACATGCAATTTTGAAAAAAAAAAAGCTGAATTATTTTATATTTCCTTCAAGAAGTAAGTGATAAGTTATATTTGTGTTTGGTGTTTGCTGTTGGTGTTTTTTTGTTTGTTTGTTTGTTTGTTTGATTTTTTTTTTAAGGTGATATAATGAAAATACTAGGGTAATCTTAAAAGGGCATCATAAGTCAGATATGTCTATTTCTTACTGAAACTGAAATGCATGTTCTTAGCACTTATAAAATGGCATGATAAACTGAAAAATTAACACTCATTTCTATTTCTAGGACTGACCTCAAGTGAAAACTTTTGCTTTGCTTGCTTCTGATAATAACACATTTGATTAGAGTTCTCCATAATCTTTTTAGTTTTGATCTGTCAACCTTCGAATCCTGTTCCTTGTTCTGTAGTTGAGGACAACAGTGTAGCTGTTGAACGCTGAGTTAGTTTGAAGATATCTTTTCTTTGTCTCACTTTTCTCTTATATTCTTACACCTCCACTTGGTATATTAAAACCTCACATAGAGTTTCATCTAAGTGTGAGTTGCATCTCGGTGATTGTTGATTTCTTTTAGATAACGTGTTTGTTGAAACAAACACTTCAGTCTGTACTTTGGATCTGTCTAAAAAAATCCATAACACTTCTTTTGAAATTTCTGTCTCTGTGTGTATTGTTGTAAAATAACATCTTTGTATAGTGTAATACTGTGGTATTTGTAGCTACAGAGCAGAAATGTCTGGGGAAAAAAAAAAAGAAAAAAAGTCTGTTCATTAAGTTTCTAGAAAGTATAAAGGAAAGAAAGAGCCTTACCCACTACAAAGTGAGTCCAGAAAGGAAAGAGTGAAAAATGACGATGCCTCAAAATACAATGAAATAATGAAATATAATGGAAATAGTATTCACTAATCTATTAGCCTTATGGCATCTGGAAAAAAAAAATGAAAAAAAAACTTTTTTTTTTTTTTTCTGTAATGGAATATAATGTATTTCTTGCAACATCTGCAAATGGTTCTGCTTCAGAATATTACATAAATTAAAAACTTATTGGCAGAATACTTCAAGGGAATGACTAATCTCCTTATGTGCTTTATCTGAGATTGAGTAGCATTTTAGGAGAAGCTTCCCTAAGTTTGATATTTTTGTGTAGTGAAATATTCTGTCCTTAAAATGGCTATTCTACTTGTCACAACGAAGTCCTTACTTATAATTTCTGAAGTACTCATTGAGGATGAAATAACTGATCCATGTTCTGTTTTCCAGATTTAGACAATCCTCAGTCTCCATTGAAAGGAGATAGCATGCTTAATCTTTTTGGGTTCTAGGGCATGGTCATACAGAAAATCACACTAAAATGGCAAACCTTAGGGTCAGTCTTCAACATAAATAAAGATCTACAAAATGTTGCTTTTCAAATTTTGCCTGATTTCAAATGGACTTCTTTTTAAAAAAGTTAAATATTTGACAGTTGAAATTGAAAAAGCAGGGTCAATCCGCTTAAATAGTTTTAAATTTTTTTAAGAGCTACAGTACCTCCAAGGACTAGTCACAAACATGACAGAACCAAACCGGTTCTGGTGTTGGTGGAAGGAGGTGGTACAAGGGCTGTCAGTTGCTGTGCATGTCATCTCTGGAACTTTTGGTGAATGATAGGAAAAGCCTCTTCATGAGGAGGTTCGTGGCAAAGAGAAACAGGTTGCCAAAAGAAACAGGAGAGTCTCCATTCTTGAAGGTGCTTGGCTAGACAAAGCTTGGTTTATAATTAGTGGTAGTTCCACTTAGATCAGGAGACTAGAACAAATGATATCTAGAAGAACGTGCAAACCAACATTTCTGATTCTGTGACAAGTTGTTTAAAACTTCCTATTCAGTGCCTTGGTCTGCTTAAACTTGGATGTTCTGAAACCATTAAAATGGCATACTTGCTGAGATTGTGTGCAATTTAAAAAATGAAGTATTGCCCCTGAATTTTAATGTCTGTATTTATACATTTTTATCAATTTCAGAATTGCAGAAAAAAAATGTTATGGAGTAGCCTTTAAACAAATAATCTGTTAATTATCTTGGTTGTATTTGTAAGATTGGAGGAGAAATTATTCCATTCCATAGCTATGTAACAATGGAACAGTAGAGAAATTGAGTTTGCATATGTCTACAGTTATGAAGACTAAATACTGTTACTTTTTTCCCCTACTTGCTTTAGGGACATCTTTACCTTTGAAATCTATTTAATGTCAGAACGTGTTTTTCTGTTTGGAGCTGAAACTGCGTATTCACAAAGAAAATGGACTTGGGCAATAGCTAAGGTAATACTGATAATCATCTTTTCCAGTTAGGTCCAGAGCCTTTGCATGACTACTAAAATGGCTTTGATAGCTTAAAATCCTCTGAGAAGCCATTCTTGGTGAATACAAGGGGTGCTGGTGGATAACAGGCTGACTGTGAGCCAGCAGTGTGCCCTTGTGACCAAGATGGCCAATGGTATCCTTGGGTACTTTAAAAAGAGAGTGGCCAGCAGATTGAGGAATGTGATCCTCTGCCTCTAAGCTGTCTTTATGAGATCACCTCTAGAATATTGTACCCACTTCTGGACTCCCCATTTCACAAAAGACAAGAATCTCCCAGAAAGAGTCCAGCAGGGGGCCATGGAGATTATAAAAGGCCTGGAGCATCCTCCTGTCTGACGGAAAGCTGATTAACCTGTGTCTGTTCAGCCTGGGGAATAGAAGGCTGAGATGGGATCTGAGAAATGTTAATAAATATCTGAAGGGAAATGAGAGACAAAATGGATGAGGTCAGGATCTTCTCAATGGTGGGTAGAGATAGGGCAAGGAGTAATGGCCTAAAAGTTGAGCATAGAAAGTTCCATATTAATATGTGGAAGACCTTCATTACAGCAAAGGTGATGGAGCTCTGGAACAGGTTGCCCAGAGAGGTTATGGAATCTCCTTCCGAGGAGATATTCAAAACCCATCTGGAAACTATCTGTGCAACCTATTTAAGGTACCTGCTTTAGTACAGGTGTTGACCTTGATGATCATTTGAGGTCCCTTCCAATCTCTGCAATTCTGTGTAATACTGCTTTATCTCATGTGCAACAGTTTCCTATGAAACAGGAAAGAATACTTCTGTGATTTAACTTTTGAAACAGGATAGTACAATAAAATGAAAACAAGAATTGAAACAGCATTTTAATGTTGACCTTAAAAATATGTTAATAGTTTTCTATTATGACAGATGCTATATGAAATTATTTAAGTTATTCGTAGTTCATAGCAATTCTGTTCTTTTGTTTTCTGAAACACAACTCACAAAGCAACACTGTATGTGATATAGCACCAAATGGTAACAGTCATATTACCTGTTAAAACAGTTATAGTTTGAAAACAAAAAATATTTGAATTGTGTAGTGTGAATGGAGAAAAATCTGCTATACTTAATATTAAAACTTAAATTTAACATATATAAAGATTTGAGTGATAAATCTGATAAGTTTTATTTTTTTGCAGCTTTTGTCTTTTAACCTTACAGGTTTGCAATGTCTGGGTTTTGTTTTTTTTTTTAGGGGAAGAGGTTGGTTGTTTTTCTAAATCTAACTCACCCTGTCTTGTTTGCTAGCATTTTGTTCCCCCTGTAGCTGAATGCTTATTAGAGAGGGACTGTGACCTGATTGGCCAGCTGTACTACAAAGATTGCCATAACCTGGATCAGTGGAGAAAAGGCTGGTTTGCTATAGAAAAGTCAAGCCTTCATTTTTGTCTTGAAATGGAGAGTGCTCAAGAAGATTCCATATATCTAAGGAGGCTACAAGAACTAAGTAAGAATTTTGGTTATCATCTAGAATGCAGGAAATACTCTACTGTTAAGGACATAGCCATTACATTTTAAAATCACAAACACTGCTGATCTCACTGACGATCCCTTTGCATGAGCTAGATGCTCTCTGAACTCCTGTCTAAACATGGTGTAAATCATGCTCTGTCTTGGTTATGTTTTCCCCTATTTCGTGTAGTTGCAGCATTGCAACTTAGTTCCAGCATTTTCTTTCTTATAATGGTACAGGATTGAATAATAATATATGACCTTTTGGGGTTATTGTCTCATATTTTTGGCACTGCAGAAATGCTAACTGCAGAACATGTTCTTGAGATGATTGACAAGCTTAGTTTAAAATACTCAAATGGACTGGAAAAATTTATAATTCTCTAGGAGAAATGTTTCACAGACTAATAGATTTTTTTCTGATACTAAAAATATTCCTTTCTTCATATCATGATGTGGAATAGATAAGACTACTTACGCAAATGGTCTTTTTGTATCAGTATCTGTAATGTTTTGAATCTTGTTTAAGCATATCTGCCCTGCTTGTTTTTATATTGAGCAAGGTAGTGCTCCTTGCTATGTTATAAAGGAAACTAAAAATAAACTGAGATTTTATGATGAAGTAATGATGAAGGGAGGTAATTTAACTTTTTACTGATGGTGCTCTTTGCGAATGCTGTGAGACTATGGACTGTTTTTACCGGAAATTTCCTAAATGTCATTGGCTTTTCTATTGTTGATTTACTGCTGCCTTATATTTACTGTAAATAATGCCACAAGAGTGGTTTTTAATCAGGAATACTGTTGTGACTCTATCTTTTAAAATTTGTGAATATTTTTATCTTGATTTGGAATTAAAAGTTTAGGCAGTATAGTGCACTATAGCATAGTGCATGGTACAGCTTTACAAGCTCTGTTATTGAAAACTACCCAGATGTTATTTCTATTATGGATAATGAAGATCTTTTTACAATGTTTGGATGTAGTTGTTTTTGTTTGTTTGTTTTTAAACAGAAATAGCATAAAACTCAATGACTCGATGATCTCTGGAGGTCCCTTCCAACCCCTACAATTCTGTGATTCTGTGAAAACAATGTAAAAAAGAGTGACAGTGATTTTCATGGTGTACTTGAATTTCCTCTAAGATATTTTATTATAAATATCTACAAAGATTCATATAAATTAATGGGTTTAAAAGTCCAGTTTTCTTTTGAGTCACATCCCATAAAATTTGTCTTGACAAATTTAATTTCAATATAGATGTTTTCACATTTAAAAAGTCCATCTTAACCTGTTTTAACTGCTCTCTATATTACTTTTTTTTGTAAACTTCATTGTATTGTGTTTTTTTGTGGAATTTTGTTCTGGTTATCAAGTAGCATTTTATATTTGATGCATTTAAGTATTTTATGCACCTTTTGTCACCAAAGATAATTCTGAAAGCACATCTGTTGTTGTCTATATATTTTATTTGTATATCATATGAATGTGTAATTGGTTTTCAGCAATCAGTAGCATGATGCAAAATGGAGAAAAAATAGATGTCCTGCTGCTTGTTGAAAAAGGAAGGTAAGGTCCCCAAAGTAGCTTTGGTCTACTTTTTTTTTAATCAATATTTTAGAATTCTTGTTAATCACTCACAGAGCTTTCTTCACTTGTCGTTGCTAGAATGAGTGAATTTGAAGATTTTTAGAGGATAGAAAGACTGTGCATTAACTACATTTCATGTTCATGTCAGGGAGCACAAAACATCAGTAGTTTTACCATGAAACTAAAGTATTATAATATCAATTATCTGGAAAATAAACTTTTTGTGTGTGTTATTTTTTTAAGCTGACATGTTGGGATGTATTTTGCCTAAAAGTTGAGAAGAATCTTATTTGTGTGATAGTTTAATCTGTGTGGGTAACATGTTTTGCAAGAGTGCTTTATTCCAAATTGCACAGTATATAGTGATATTTGATAAAGATTGATTATATTCTGATGCAAGGAAAAATGTAGGTCCTACAAGAGATAGAAGCTTTAGGATAATTATGTGTGCATTTAGCTATGACTAGTTAAGAGAAGAGCTTCAGTTATTACTAGTGATAAATTGAAAACTATCTAATCTTAGCTAAAAGTGGATAGCTTATTAAATGCAGTTTTTCCACTGAGAAAATGATTCCCAGTCATATTAATCTGCCAATAACTTTTTTCAAAAGGATCTAACTTCTTTCTGTGTGTACAAGTGTGAACACTTGTGGAGAGTAACTCTGGACAATTCATCACATCTCATTTTATCACTCCTATGTCCCACAGTTCTGTATCAAAATCTGTGTAGATTAAGATCAGCAGGATATACATGTGTCTCCTGGTTAACCTTATTGTAATGCCTAATCTCAGGTGCACGTTAGCTTAAAAAAAAAAAAAAAAAAAAAAGCATACTTGAGAAGTAAACATGATCGCTCTGCTTCCATGTTGGTGTTTGAGTTTTGCTGAGATGGTTATCAAATGTAGTGAAACAAGATGTTGAAACTTAAAGTAAAATACCAATTTTCTGACTCATGTAGATACTGATTTAAAGATGAAAGTAAAATTATTGAAAATAATATTTTTTTTAATAGATTCATTTAAATTTCAGTGATGGACTATTGAGCAAACATCTGTGTAAACATTGCATCAGCTCTTACATGGACTTCTGAATAGCTGATAATAGGTTAATAAGGAAGATATCTTGCCTCTCTGTTGAGGAAACATAAACAGCAGATGACTTTGAAATCTATTTTGAATGACAGAAAACTGTTGGAGAATGTTGTATCTTGTTTTATTTCAATAAATTTTAACTCTTCCTAAGATAATACTTACATTCAGATTTTAGTCAGTAGATGTAGATCATAAACAGATAAAAGATAAAAACCTGTTTTTCCTGGTTGTTGTTTTTTCTCTCCAGTAAGCTTTTTGAAAGATTCAGCATTAAGTATGCTACACAAACCAAGTAGGGAACAAGCATATATCCAGTGCCCAAGGTACAGTCCAACAGATGTATACACGCGATGCCCCTGATTTCATAGATATCAGTGCAAAACTTCCAGCTCCAAGTCAGGTTTTATTATTTCTTTTACTATAATCTTTTCACTAACAAGTGATAGCTTATAGGAGTAGGTTTTCCCAGAACTGCTTCAGTAGTTAAATAGAAATTATGAACTATCTAAAAATAATTTTAAGAGGAGTACTAGCTGAAGTATGGTAACCATAAATACGTTGAAGTCTTCTTCACTGAAGAATGCCATAAAAAAACAAAAACAAACAAAACAAAACAAAACAAAAAAAAAGCATAACTTCTGCATTATCTTAAGCATTAAAAGCCATATGGATGAATGACCTTTGGGACAATGATTCTTGGTCAGGATGTGATTCCAAAATATCCAAGTGTTTATCACAGCTGTATGATAGTTCATCTTATAGCGATAAGAAATTAATTTATGTTGCTGGGAAATGACTAAATATAAAATCACTTTTATCTTCAAACTCAATTTTTGTATATGGAAACAAAACCAGCAACACTCCTTTTTCCCCTTCAAATGGGAAATTAATATCTTGGGAAGTCACTGCCATCTAAATGATATATCAGAGTTCCTAGGTTTTCCTTTTTTGTCTGTTATTTTATATCAGTACTTGTCTAATTTGTTTTTATTAGGTAGGGTCTCTTCAAGTGATGAATTTATGTACTGTGCTACTGGCAACTTTCATGCTGATTTATTAGTCACTTAAATCTAGGATAAGTGATATAATCTCAAAAATCATTATGCCAAGACTGAATATGAAGTAAAAGAATAAGACTTATTCCAGATTTAAGGAAAGTTCAAAAATAAAAAAAATACCACTCAGGAAACCTTGCAGCATCTTTTTATTTGTGTATAGAATTAAATGTTGTCTATGTCCTACCATGTCTTACTAAATTTAATCAGAAGAAATTATGAAAATGCCTTGAGAATTTTCCTGCTGAAGTTCATACTATGCTTGTGTTGTTTTGTTACTGACTTCTCTGATTAACTTCCCTTATATTAAACATACTCATACCCTCCCCTTCCCCAGGACACCAAACCCAGTCATTGGATTTGATTAATCAGGGAAGATCGTACATTAGATGTACCATACACTTTTTTCTTAGATAATTTTCTTTTAGGTTGTTGTGGGCATAAGGATTATTGAAGTTGTTTTAAACAGACTTCTTATTAATGAGTGATTGCTTACAAAAATAAACAGCTATAGAATTATAAAAACTTCAGCTCCTACTGCTGAAATAATTATAATGTAATAGGTCCAATTAATTCTGGACTTATAAATACTTATTATATTTATGCTTCTGTTAAATTCATGGGGTACATAAACTGAATGTTTATCTGATCTGTAAGTAGTCAAAGGCAGTTTACAGTTGATTTGAAAAGGCAAGGAAGATGTATAATACTTTGCAGCTTGTGTAAAATACGAGAGTTCAGAAATGATACTATGAGACAATATACAAGATTTTTCTGAATTCTAAAGTGTGAATTCAATTGCTTTCCCTTCTTTTGATTGATCCTTTTCTCCTCTGATTTTTACTTTGAAAATAAATGGCAAGATCATATTTGTTATGTTCAGTGATAGAAGACTACTAATTTAAAAATGAGAGGGTAATCATACTGTACCATTGTACATTGCCAAGTAATATCATGAAAGGCTAAATCAGGCTAGTACACTTTCAAAACACAAAAACTGGCATTTTTTTTTATTTTTTTAAAGATATCTGAGGTAGTGTGCTTCCTAAATTTTACCAATAATCCTAGATTTTTATAGACTTCTGGAATTGTTTCAAAACTCTAAGATGTTTTGTTTACATTTTGATGTCTTTAGTAAAGTTAATTAAAGTAGGAACCCAATCCTTGTTATGATATCCACTGAAATTTTATTGCACTCTGCTGTTAGAGCATATTCTCAAGCTCAGCTGGAAATCTTGACTTTTTATGATGCTGTTTTCTGATGCCAAAATAAGATGGTCATTCACCTTCTCATGTGTTCTGCTTTCATAATTAACTGATCTTGATTTCTTCCTAGAAATAGCAAACCGTATTCTACATTTTGTTCTGACATGTTGCCTTCTTTGAACAACCTAAATTCTGAAGTACCTAAATTCTGCAGTACCAGCAGTATCATCCAAATATATATATTTTTTTACCAGGAACCTCTAGTTCGTGAATATAGGATTGCTGCCTAAAAATACATTGCCATTTCTTTGAAAATTATTAAGAAACCTCTTTGTCCATTATTTAAGTTAATACCTTTTCAAATTTTAGAAAGCAATGACAGCACAATCATTTGGTTGTTCTGATAATTTTGTTTTCTTTTGTGATTTATTGAGTAGAAGATACGAAGATCCATAGAAATCAGAATATTCTTTTTCTTGTAGTTTAGGTAATTCATATATCGTGAAGGTGGATTGACAGGCATGTGATTTAGACTTTCATATCACTGCTTGAAAACATAGATATGCCTAGGTTAGCATTAAAGTTCTGTATACTACTTATTGATAATACAGCTGAGCTGCCCACTTTTTCTTTAGAAAAGAAATATTATTTTCACTACTTCCTTTTCATAATTCCTTACATTACAGAAAGTATTCTTTTGAGGCTTCAGTTTTTCTTTTTGCATAATACTGTAATGTGAATCCACCTGTTCTGCAGAGGTGGGAAAAAAGACAGTAATAAACATGCATGCCTTGTGTTGGGAAGCAACATGTTTCTTGTTCAGCGTCTTAACCTCTACTGATCTGTGAATAATAGTACTGAAGAAATATTGTAAAATTCATTGGCAGACTCTGTTTCTACTTAAGATGTTTGATTTCCTCTGTGTATGGTAATAACAATACTAAAATATGTCAGGGTGATGTGATTTTTTGGAAACTGATGTTTGAGAACTGCTTATGTAGGATATCCATTCTGTCAGATCTTCATGAAATGTTTGAATGCATTGAATCAGACACACTCATTCTACTGTAAAAGTTTGAGAGCTTTATGCAAATTACTGATTTTTCCCAATGGAAAAGAGTCTGAGTGTTCTATCCAGGTATGTGTGGTTAATATGACTTTCACTGTCAAGAAGTGGAGATTTTTTTAAAGGAGTCTTCAGGAAGCCAAAATATTTCAATATATCTTCCTATGCTGCTAAATAGTGAAATTGCTATGATGGATCCTGAGAACACTTCAGATCTTGGGTCCAAGTTTGTACTTGACTGCATCCTAACTTCCTCTCAAGACAATAAAGCTAAAATGAATATGCAAAATAAAAAGATTCAGACAAAAAAAAAAAAAAAAAAAAAAAAAAGGAATCTTTCACTATTATATTATATAAGAAAAAGTGTTTTCCCAGGTAATTAAAAGTAGTATTTGTTTGTACTTTGAGGAAAGTATTAATGAATTATGTACTTTGAGTAGTATTAATGAATTTCAGAAGAAGATTTAAAATTTTCCTAATTAGAAAATATATTAATCTTAAAGAAAATGTAGATTTAGTGATAGGTGAAGAGTATGTCTGTAGAAAAGATTGCTAGGCTAACTTAAAACAATTGTTTCTTCTGTGCATGCATATAGGTTAGCATACACTCTTAAACTGTTTAGTTCTCTAGCTTTTCCCAGAAGCTATTCTGACAGTGGTTTTAAAAAAGCAAACAAAAGAAAAACAAAGCAAACAAACAAAAACAAAAGAAACAAAAAAGCCAACGATCTTACCCAAGTAAAATTGTTTAAATAAGAAAATCAGAACAGGACCATGATTTGAGATAAACAAGCAATTAAACAATTGTATTACTATACTTTAACTTTCAGTTACTTCATATATGTTCCTTACTTAAACGTATAATTTCCCAAGGATGATTCTTTTGATCCAGGTGAAGGAAGGAAGTTCAATATATCTCTTCTACACTGTAGAGAAGCAGGGTGGAAAGTAGAAAAGTCTGTGAGTCTTTTATTTCCCGCTTAGCTGTGACTTTGGCATATGAATGTAGGTTGTCGGAGAAAGACTGAGGAGGAATAATAATGTTGGTGAGGTCCTTTCAAAGGTCTGACAGATCTGTTTGTGGATCCTTGTTTATTTATTGTGACATTGCTAGCACAAATGAGCTTGGAAGAAAAGGTGCTGTTAACAGGCCACCACCACAATCCTGTGTTGTAGAAGGAAGCCTTAATGTCTTATTCCAGCTATTTCTTTGGACAACTCTATGCTGTTGTAGTAGAATAACCCCATATTTTCCTTTCTTCTGTGCATTCAAAATATTTTTAAACTTTCCAGAACACTGTACATTCATGGCCATACGAAACTGGATTTCATAGTCTGGTATACTGCAATTGAAAAAGCAGCGGGTACAGATGGTAATGCATTGCAAGATCAGCAGCTCAGCAAAAATGATGTTCCTATTATCGTGAACAGCTGTATAGCATTTGTTACACAGTATGGTAAGTACAGCATGTTTTGTTCAACCTAAGATAGTTTTTATAATAGTTAAATTACTACACTTTAAGAACTTATTACTGAATGAGTTTATATATACTACTCAATGTAAAATCATACCTCTTGTTAGCCCCACCACTCATTGATGTGGTGGTAAAGTACAGTGCCATGTGACTGAGAATAAAAAAGTGCATGGAATACAACTACAGAAATCCCCTACATGCCCACTACAGTATTTTTAAAATTGACTTATTTTCTTGATATAGATTAGTCTTTATCTCCCATGCCTCAATTCAGAACTCTGCAGCACTGAGAACAGTCTGTGTGATGCAAGAACACCTCTGACTTGAAGTGATCAGCAAATCCAGGAAATTGATGTTAACTGTGGAACGAAATTCAGTTTTAAGGCTGCTGATTTTTCATAGCAGCCTAGGGAGGTATAATGACTTGCTGTTTGCTTGAGTAAATGTTGCCAGTGTAATTTTCTATAGCATTAGATGATATTAAGATTATGCCTGTGTCCTTTTCACTGCTGCAAATTAATCAGTTCTCTTGTGAAATGCTAAATATCTATCAACCTAGCACAAATTTATCTTCAGGATAGATGTGTCTATAACCTCTGTCAGTATGAGAAGGCCTAATTTATATTTCATTGATTGGAATCTGACTAAATTTTAAGTGTGACAACACTTCATTATCATAAATAGTTGTATCTGGGTTACAGTTTTTGGCTTAAACTAAGAAATAATGTTTTTGCTAAATTATTTTTCATCATTAGCGATATAAATTTTTCAAAGTATAATCTACACTGTTTCATGCACTGAAATGTTGTTTAAACTAGGATAGAGGCATTCCCAACTTGAAAATATTGCTAATACATGTTCTAAATTAAAATACAATGTCTTAATGCTTGTTTGTTTTTTTTAATTAAGTTTTCATTTATGTATAGTTTTTTTTCAGGATCAAAGTTACTGGATGTTATACTACTCACTTGGAAGTTGAAAGAGTTATATGTTACTTGTAGACATACATGGTTTATTTTTGTTGTAATGAAGGCTATGAATGTGTTTATGTCCTACTCATGACAGACACTATCAGTTCCAACAGTTGTTCCTGACAGTAACAACACAAAGACAGTATCTAATGGTAGTGCTTGTGGGCATTGCAAGAAAAGTGAATTGCAGGGCATAAATTCATAGGTTTTGACAGAATACTTCTTTTGACAACTACATAAGGAAGGCAATGTTTCGTACATACTGATTTTCTTTTTCAAGAAATGCGGAGAAATACAGTAAAATCTTGTATAAAGAGAAATAGAGGAACAGAATCCACATAAAATTTCCACAAGTATTAAAAAAAAAAACGTTTGACTACTTTCATACGCGTAATTGAAGGTAGTCTCTGCTGTGTTTTAGACTACGATTTTTTAAATTTAATATTTTAAGTTGGCCTTGATATTTTCAGCCATTTATTAGTCGCTGCTGCATAGTGTCTTCCTTGACTTGAGGAAAATCAGAAGAAACAGTAATTGTTTCTAGTAATCTTGAGCTTTCTGATAGTGAGATCAGTAGGAAAACAAAATAATGTGAGTACTGATAACGAATAATGTAACTAATAACTGTGCTGAATCAGTATCAGCCGTTGAAACTTCTTTCCTGCACTGTCTTTTCAGACCATAGATTTGGGAAGTACTGAAGAGATCTGGGTAGTTGAGCTGCATGTAAAACACTTCTGAAGTTGTGGCCCAAGGCTTGATTAATTTTATGATATGTATATTTACAAATATAGACTTGTTAGTGTTTTCGCTAACCAAGTATGCAAAAAGTCCAAAAGACACTAGTGATCTGTAGAAATGTGATCTGTTTGACAAGCCAGATGCACTTTTCATGTAAGGTTTGGAATTTCTAAAAGAACATGCAATTTTACAGATATTAATTTCTATATTCTATCCTGCATTTCTATTGCCTAGGTTTAGGTAGCAAGCATATATACCTCAAGAATGGCAATTCATCCAATGTGGCTGAACTGCTGGAAAGTTTTAAAAAAGATGCAAGGAGTGTTAAACTGAGAGCTGGAAAACATCGACTTGAAGATGTGACTGATGTATTGAAAAGCTTTCTTTCTCAAATAGATGATGCAATTCTCACTAAGGAACTCTATCCATTCTGGATTTCTGCATTAGGTAATATATTAAATAACACTCAATGCAAGAAAGGTTGTTTGCATGTACTCAAGTATGAGAGTTTTGTTAAATACTTGCACTGTATGCTTAGAGATGCATATGAAAAAACAAGGTGGAGCATTACTTTCTGCATTACAGCATTGAAATAGTATAGGCCCACTGATTGCTTGACTAGCTTTATTTTTGAAAAGGATGATTAATTTCAGGCTTAATTTCAAGCATATGAAGGTTTCTCCAGTATAAGCTAGTATAAGTTTGGGAAATTCAGCTACAAATATTGGTCTTTCACCTTATTTGAACAAATTAATGGAAGAAATACTAATTTATTTACTGACAATAATATTGTTAAAAAGTCATATCTGTAGCAGTTTAGATGTTAGCTCTTTTGTGAAAGTGCATAGCAGCATCACACTGATTTATCTTCTAGATTTGTGCATTGGGTTAAAAATTCTGCTCCATCTTTTAAAGAAGAGAATCCTGTCCTTCTTTACAAAAGTGTCCTGCACAGTACTTGTGGGAAGATTGAAACCCCTAGGAAAATAGAGTATATGACCTTTAAACTGTTTGTATTTTTTCCCATGTTACTCAGTAAATACGGTTAGCTCAGTAGTTACTTTAGAGTATTAGCAATCACCTGGAAGAGATTGGAGGAATTCTGCAGATTTTCTTTTCAGAAACATGAGAAAAACAATGGCAGAGTAAAAAATGTTATAAATAAATAAATAAATATTCATACTACATTAACTAAACAATTGCCCCAAGCAGGATTATTCTCCATAGCCTCTGTGCTATATTCAGCACAGAGAGGCAGACACAAAGGGATATGTCTGTGTCTCAGATACTGGATACAGTACTGGAATTCTTGTTTGCCATTGTTCAGCTTTGTACACCTTATTTTCTGCCCTTCTCTTTTCCTCTCCTCTTATTAGTCTTTTATTTTTAAAACTTTAAACTGATTTGGACCTGAAGACATTTCTCCAAATTTATAACAACAACAACAAAACAGATGAAAATATATTTTTTTCCCTCAGCTCTGGATACTCTTGAAAGCATATATTTTTACAAGGGTTGATGTAATGCCTCCTACTTTATCATCTTGGTCCATGATGCCAGCGGTGGATGTTGGTGGTATGGCAGTAGAGGTTCCTTCCCACCACTATTCCATTACATTTTGTTGCTATGTGACAGATAGCTGCAGAGGAGCAGTCCGACAAAATGGTGTCTGACATGGAAGTATGTATGGAGCAAAGGTGTGTCATTTAGTTTATTGATGCAGAAAAAATTGCATCCTTTGATGCTTATCAACACTCACTGAACATTTGTGGAGACCAAACAATGGATCTGAATGCTGTTAGGCAGAGGGGGGTGCATTTCAGATGTGGCGATGGTGACAGTGGGTCTGTTGGTGCAGATTTTCAAGAGCCCAGTATGCAGTCTCTTATTGCTGATTTTGTTTTTTCCTTGAACTATCATACAATAATAAATTATTGGTATTGTCTTCACAAAGAAAGGGATTGAGTAAATTACAATTTTAAATAAGTAGATGATGCAGACATAGTTAATGAGAATTGTTGATGATTTTTAGTACACGTTGTTAAGGCTCAGTAATTGTTATTTTCTGTTAGATATGCAAAATGAAAAGGAACGCGTGATGAAGTACGGAGCTTTTATTCGTACACTCCCACCAGTCAATAAGGCAACTTTGGCTGCTTTAATTGAACATCTTTACAGGTAAATGTAAATAATGCACTGTAGCAGAAAAATTCCTGGAATGAATAATTGAATATGAATAAAATGAATACCACCATGAATAAAATGTGGATCACTTCATCAGCTAGTAAGCATCAAGAGCTTATCTTGTAATTATTAATAATATTCAATTACCTTTAACTTATAATGTCTCTTTGGTTATAGTTACATCTTACTAAAAATATAAATATCAACAATATGGAAATGTCTTATAGTGATAGGGGGCTGTCAGTATTTGAGTCCAAGAGCTTCTTTAGATGAACTTTTTTTTTTTTTTTTTACCCTAGTCTATTTGTTTTCCAGGAAGGTATTGCAATTTTTTCTTGAGATAAAAAGATTTTTTTGGGTGAAATGTCCTTCTCCCTAATCTATACTGGAAATGACAATTTTCAAATTTAGCTATCTGTCAAACATTTAATAATTTTACTTCACGATTGCAACTGCAATAATCATGAAGAATATTCAAATTATTCCTGGTAAAGTGTTGTGAGTAGAAAATGTGAAAGCCTTTTTTTTTTTTTCTTTTCTGTACTCAGAGCAATTATGTAGTAGATATTTAAAAACTATTTATACAATTACTAAATTGACTGGTACTTTTACTAGGATAAGGATTACACTAAGTAGTGTAGTTAATGATTTTTCTAAGCTTATTCAGTTCAGATACTGATTAAAATGTTCTGAAAGCAGCTTGTATATATTTTTATAAACAGGCAAAATTCTGTTAGCTTACAAAGGAGAACATCTTATGTAAACTACAGTATGAAGGCGTAGATCTGAGAACTTCACTACATGTACAGAAACTAAAGAATTCCTAATTTATTTCCATGCTTTTGTTGCTCTAAGGTGATTGGTTTATAGGATATACATAAATAATGTAACAAATGATTTTGATACTGCTTGAGGTGCAGATACAAAGCATATGTTTTCTTTCCATAATGAGCTGCAAGATAAAGAATATAAGGAGGTAAATAAAAAATGTAATAGATTACACTAGGTTTTTTATTCCTTTTTTTTTTTTTCTTTTCTTTTTTTTTGAAATGTTCTTCATATTCTCTAGAGGAGCACTGAACAGCTAAAGGAATAATGGGATCATCTAAATATATTTATTTCTCCTTCAACAGGGTGCAGAAATGCTCTGAAATCAATCATATGAACCCTCACAATCTAGCCCTGGTGTTTTCTTCTTGCTTATTCCAAACTAAAGGCCAGACTAGTGAAGAAGTGAATGTAATTGAAGATCTAATTAAAAATTATGTGCAACTTTTTGATGTGGGTATCTTTATATAAAGTGTCTTAATTGCTCTGCTGTTAGGCATGCTAAAATATAGAAATGTCCTTATTGTTAGAGATGATCCTGGTGTTGGTTACACTGTCTAAAGATTTGCAGTGTTACTGAACTCTAATTCAGTGGATGTAGTTTACTGTTTGCTTTAAATTTTATTTCCCGAATGTCTTAGCCTGTGAAGGAAAGACTACATTTATAGAATTACTGTGAGCATTACATTTTCCCAGGATGGTACACACTCTTGCTGCTGCTGATTGCTAACAATCTTAAGAGAACTTTGAGATGATAACTATTAAAAGTAATACTTTCATTCAGATTTTATACATTAGTCAGACCTGAAGCATGGAAGAATTATGTTTTTAGTGTTTGAGCTGTGATTGCAATAAGAATTTTAGAGGAAATAAATTTTTGTTCCTTAGGCCTTGAATGTGCATTGAATCCAGCTGGATTTTCAGCAGCAATTAATCTTAGCCACTTTGGCTTAGACTGTCACTGTACCATTTTGCTTGGCAATTTTTTCATGGAGCCCTCTCTCTTTTAAAATGGTAAAGTTCATAGTAATGATCACATCAATGAAATAGTCCTTCTGATGGACAGAATATTTTACATAGTGCTTCCATAAGAACATGATTACTAGAAGTAACAAATATCTAATTTTATATTCTACTTGCATTTATCAGTTTATTATATTGTAGTGTTTTCTAGTTAATGTTATAATTTTTATGGTAGTTTGTAATTATTAATTAAATAAAACTGTTCAATTTTAAACAGGTAAATGAAGACCAGATCAAACAAATGGATATAGAGAACAGTTTTATTACCAGATGGAAAGACACTCAGGTAAGTGGCAAAAGTTTAATGCAATGCAAATGCTTCTAACAAAGAATGTTTTGTTGTTTATAGGTTTTTATACTTCCATTTATGTAATGTGAATTTCTAAGTTTGTATAGTGACTAGTGTTGTTAACTGCAGAACTGAGGGAAATAAAAATGAGGCATGAACTGATAAAGTAGAATGGTTTTTGTAAAGCAGACTTTGCAATTATTCCAGTGTTCAGGCCAGAACATAACTTGAAGGTTCTTACATGCTTTTCAGTGCTTCATACAGTAGATAGAAATGATCAAAATGTCTAAGTATGAAATCGGAGACCAATTTTATACATGCATATTAAAAACTTTCAATTTCATGTTAATAATTCTATTATTTCATGGCGTTTTGGTACGTATAGTCTCTCTCCATTAGAGAGCAACAATCCCTGTAAGCTCGGAGTACCTGAATCATTTGCCATATCCTTTTTTACATCCATACATGGAGCCTGTATACGGAGTACAAATATGGCTGGGGAAACAACATTCAAACATGTTTACTTAGTCAAACTGAACTTTGGGAAATGGGATATAAGAACAGGAGATCTCACTATTATCTTCATTTTCAGTTGTACTTGTATTTAGATTTGAATAAATTGTGTGTTGATAAGAAGCAACAGTGATAGTATATTTAGCAGTTAGAGTAGTCTGTGCGTGCAGTCCTCATTAAACCAAAAACTGATAAGTTAGATAAACATGACTAAGGTAAATGAATCAAGAGATGTCAATGGAAGCAAGCATAGGACACATAGAAGCTTTTTCTAAAATGTAAAGTAGTGGAGGAGAATCTTTCAGTAGTGTTGGAGCTTATCAGCCTTTAGAAATGAATGGAAAGTTGACTGGAGGAAAAAAAAAAAAAAAAAGGTCTTTCAAAAACACACTGAAATAAAATGTTTGATGCTTTGCTACCTTAAGTCTATTTTTACCTTATTTCCTTCTTGTCTGGGACAGAGTGCCATTAAGCATTCTGATAATGGCCTACTGACAATGTGTGTGTAAAATGCAGAATGTCTTCTTTCTCCCTTTGGCAGCTGATGACAAATGATTAAGTCACTGGGAATGAAAGCATCTACCTTGGTAATGCCAAGAACATCCTGTAGATGTTGAAGTATCTTTAATGAAACTTCTTAATTCTGGGTCCCATGAAAAGAACCTTACTGAGATTTGAGAATAAAATCTTGGAGCTAAAGATTTGCACAGACTTTTAAATGCATTCTTTTTTAGGCCTTTAGAACCAAGAAATTCTTGTTACAGATTTTTTTTTACACAATTTACATTTTCTCAGCTGCTCTGGGAAGCTTTAGTGGTAAAATGTTTATAATTAGGAGACATTAAGAAGACCTGAGAGAAGTTTTGTGAGTACATGAAGGGCAATGAAAACATGGTAATTAGTTTTGGAGATAAAAGAAACTTAGGGGAGGTTGAAGTTATGAGCAATTTTTTACCAACTTCTAGTTAGATGGTTTGTTCAAATCTGAGGAATATAGAGAAGAACCATATTAAGTGGTTTTGTTTTGTACTTTTATGAGGGAGCTGTGTTGCATTTCAAAGGCTGCCTGATGAGCAAAAAAAGGCTTGCTTTGTTCTATTATTTTATTTTATGTTTAAGATGTAACTCTAGGCTTTCTAAAATTGGTATAGTTTTTATTATAAATATTAGGCACCTGAAAGCATTGTCTTAATTTTAAACTGTAGAATTAAATTAGAACCTTCTGAATAAATGAAATGAATGAATGAATAAATGAGCCTGTTTTGTTTCCTGCAAATATTCGATTGATGAGAGGCAAAGTTACAGAAAGATAGAATCAGGATTTTAACTGTACTTATTTTGCTCTAGGAAAGTCTCTACTATTAATAATCAGCTTTCTGAATTGGTAGCTAGACCTATGTTTAAAAAAAAAAAACAAAACAAAAAAACCTCAGTCTTGATTCTGTAATAAATACTATGTTAAGCTTTAAACTCTTTATCAAAATATAATGGTATCACTTCAACCTTAAAAATGAATCAAATCCTATTCAAACAAAATCTTCTACCTCATCACAGTATCATCTAGGTTGTAAGAGAATGCTTGAGATCATCTAGTTTAACCCCCCTTGCTTAATCAATGTCACTGAGCACAAGTTGCCTAGAACTGTATATAGTCACAATTTGTCATTTTTAACCCAGGCCTACTTTACTAGGAGAAACTCTTCCTTCCTCCAGACTTTCCCTGTGGGCTTAAGGGTGTGGGAATCCTGAAGGCTGGAACGTTAGAGGCAAATAAGTTATTGTGTACTCTGGTCTCTTCCATGTTATGTCATGAGTTCTCCTTCTCCATTCAGCTTCAGATCCACATATTCTATAGACTCTAGTCATCAGCATTCATGTTTTTCCTTGGTGGATGCTGATTCCAGTTTGAACCAGGAGCTCCTTGTTGATCCACGGAGGCCTCCTGGTATTCTTGCCTGCCTTCTTTTTTCTCAGGACACATTGTTTCTGGGCTTGGAGGAGATGGTCCTTGAATACCGACCAGCTTTCTTGGACCCTTCTTCCCTCAAGCGCTTTCTCCCATGTCATCCTGCCAAGCAGCTACCTACAGAGTTCAAAGTCTGCTCTCCTGAAATCCTAAGTAGCCAGCTTGCTGCTAAGTGCTTCTCAAAAAGCTTGACCTTCTTCTGTGCTATACTTTACATTTATGACTTCTGTAATAATTGTCATAATTTCGGAAGACTAAATTATATGCATGCCTACATTGGATTTTTTTCCAGGCTTGACCATACAATATTTTAAACCTCTGCTGTTTAGAAGAAGAGTACTTAGTATCCAATACCTTCATCAGCGCTTTAAGAAGAATAGCCAGACCCAACCAGTTGTGTGATGAACTGTACTTGTCATGCAGATAAGAAACAGGATAAAAATCTTTGGAATAGAGTGGCTAGTTGGAGTGATCTTACAGATATCTTTTATTATTTCAGTGAAAGAAAGGAGTATACTGAAACGTACTGTTCTCAGCTGCTTTATTCCTCTTAGTCATTAGCTGTCATCTTATAACCTGTGAGCAGTACTCTAGGCTCTGCAGGGCTTGCATGTGGAGGTCATTAGTGTGGAGGTTGGATTTCAGGCTCATGCAGTAAAGCTACCTGTTGGTAAACTTTTAAGTATAGACCTCCAGCTACTGTTAAAACTGATGTCTTGTTGCAGACAGTAATTTAACAGTGTGGGTAGTTGACAACTCAAACTTCATGTAATTATACTTAATTCAGTGTGAGTATCCTTTTCATTTAACATTTGGTTGTCTGGCATTATTATATCTGAACGTATTTACGTTTGCAGGGAAAATCAGTGATGCAAATACTTAAAATATTTGATTATATTGGTTTCTACAATAGAATTATCTCCAGGCTGGTGATACAGTGTTCAGAGAATAACTGAACCAAATTTCTGCTGAAGGCCTTAAAGTTCTTACATCTGAAATGTCACTGCATTCCAGGTGGTACTTCATTAGCTCTCTTCATTTTCTGTCCACCATATATTTAGGCCAGCTGTTTCTGTTTGCAGCTGTAATTTACAGTACATTTTCTCTCCATACAGTTGTTTACATGAGCCCAGTCAAATGTCAACTTCATTCATTTTTCAACCTTTTTTCTGTAATACCATCTGAAAAGCAAATTTTAAAACTAAATGAGCTTTTTTTTGAGTCTGTGCCCCTATAATTAAAAAGCTTTCTTAAAAGTAGCTTTTCAATGTTTTTTTTTCCACAAATGTTTCCATTATTTTTCTATTTACAGGGGCAAAACTAACTCTAAAGTCACTATTTTCCATAATGTTAATGTTCTTCAGAATTGAGCGATGCCATTTATTTTTCTGTGGAAATGTATCTTCTCTAAATTAGTCAAAATATATTCCGAAGCCTACCTGGTTTTTTATTTTCTCCATAACTTATTCAGCATATGATGCAGATTTTGTTTTTCTTAGGCTTTACCTTCAACTTTGCTATGAATACTCTTCTCAGAATAGACACAAATTGGTATTCTTAAAGAATTAATGATCAAATTAACATTATATTGGTAATATTAGTAAAATGATATGCTTGCTGAAAGGCTCTATTAGGTAGCTGAAAGGCTGCCTTAGTTTTTCTTCCCTGCTCTGATCATCATCTTTTTTTTTTTTTGAAAGTATTTTTAGTACTGGGATGAATTACAGTCTTTTGAAGGGGTGCTTATGATTATATTGCAAAGGAACATGAGCAGGAAAAGAGCTAGACATTTTTAATTACAGAAAATTAATTTCTCATCCAAGTCTTATTGCCGTAGTTGAGCAACCTGGTAACAAGAAAATACAGAATTTCTTTCATAAATCAGCTTTTTCTCCTTAATTGTTAAATGCTGAATTTTCTGACATCTCTATTTCTTTGTAAGATTCATGTTATTACACATTCTTTCGTTGAATTTGTTGCTACTAAGTATATTAAACTATTGCATGTTATGTCATATACTTGCTTTGTCATCTAATTACTGCATATTGACTGCTTAACATAGAATTTTGGATATTTGGTCCAACAAACTTAAAGAGAGAATTTTAATGGAGATTGATACCAAGAACATGTATTTTGATTCCCCTTTTTAAGTACGTAATGACATGTATTCATTGTAATCAATAATAATAACTGTAGACTTCACAGTAATGAGTTCTGATTATCTGAATTTGTGCAATGGGTTTAGGAATGGAATATTCTGGTATTAGTAATTTTTCTTCTCATTTTTAACAGATTCATTTTATTTTGGGACTGCTTCCCATCCTTTTCCATGGTCTTAAGTTCTGTTTATCTTTTTTGGTAATGAAGTGAGCTTGGCTAAAATTTGCTTTTAAATATGATTATACTGGGTTTAGTCGGGGTTTAGATTTTTCCTTTGAATCTGAGAAATATGATTTTTTCATTTCACTAATGAATGTCATACAGATTTTTCCACTAGACTCAGCTTTGGGAGTCTTTTGTAGATAAGGGGTGTTACATTCAAAACCTGCTAGCACATCTTCTAAGTAATCAATGCACTTTCCCAGATTAAAAGAATATTGAATATTTTTGTTCTGACTTTTTTTTTGTCACTATGTATTATTTTAGGTTTCCCAGGCTGGAGACCTGCTGATTGAAGTTTATGTAGAAAGAAAGGAGCCAGACTGTAGTATTATAATCAGGGTGAGTGTATAAAAGGGATTTTTACCAAACACATTCTCATACTGCCTTCAAAATAATTTTTCATACATGCGTATATAGTTGCATTAAAAGGGTATGAATTTATATATATCACTGTTTTTTTAAGAATCTTTTTTTATTTAATGTGTTGCCTAAATTTTCTTAAGACCTATTAAGCATTTTTAAAGAAAATGTTATAATACAGTTTTAGAACAGACATACTCTCCTTGGGTTTTACTGGAGTATACAGTGGTATAAATTCTGTGCTGCAGGCTTAGAGCTGTGAGAAGGAAATTAAGAAGTATACAGTGAATACTGGTTTTATTCGATACTAAAAGACCATTTAAAATACCATCCTGATGGGATTTTTGTTTGTATGGGTGTTTTTTTTGTTTGATTTTGCTGGTGACTATCTGCCTTGCTAGTGTGCTGAAAAACCAAAACTTGCTACTTAATGTAGTTGAGATTTTCCAGTCTGGTGTTTTACAGACATATTTTAAATGCACTCGTGTCCATTTAGTAGTACTCTATTGTTTGGATAATGATAGATATGTTTAAATGAAAGTAGGGCAATATCTTTCCTTGCCCTTTGAACTGCTGCTAGATTTTCACTTTTTATTTCCATTTTGTTCAGCACATGATTCTCAAATGTATATGTATATACTACATGATATAAATATGTGCAAAATTTATGTATGCATATACATCAAAAGACTGCATTTTTGTGGATTTTTTTTTTTTTAATTACTTTGTTACTAACAGAATTTTAATAATTTTTTTAACTAACCTTTATTGTCATTCTTTCCATACTTAGAAAAAAATACCCTGGTTTTTTTTTAAGTGTTTAAAAAAGAGTTTAAAGTGATGAAAATGATACCAGTTGCATGGCACAGAATATAGAAGGCATTCTGTAGTCAGAAAATAGCATGAATTTCCAACTCTGTGTATTTGTTTTGGTTTTTTTCTTCAGCAAATTTTGTGGAAGATTTGAAGGGAAAACTCAGAAAATTGTAATTTTAATGCATTGTAAATTGACTGAATTTATGTTATAGGTATCGCCTTTGACAGAAGCAGAAGAATTAACTAATGATATTTTAGGAATAAAAAACATTACTCCCAACAAAGATGATATCTGGGCCACTTTTGAAGTACTTGAAAATGGAGAGCTAGGTTAGTGATGCATATTCATTAAATTATTATTATCTTTCAACATAATCAAAAGGTTAAAGAGTTATTAACTTTTTTTAATAATTATAGATATTATTTATTTTATTAGAGATAATCTTCAAATAGCAAGATAGCAATTTTTCTGTTATTGTTAAGGCATCTTATTCTAATGAATTCTCACTAATGTCATCTGATTTAAAAAATGTATATGTACCCGAGGGACAGAAATATGCTTTTAGCAAAAATCAACTTCTGTTAGCACTTTACACTAAGTTGCTTTTAGTATTATTTCCATGCTCCAGAAGTGGACTGTGGACTAATCTATTTTTGCACTGGAGGTAGCTATTTTCAAGTTCAGAAAAATCTATAAAAAAATAGAAAAAAAATAACATAGATTGAGTATTTTTGTTCTTTATCTTCGTATATACTTACTAGTAAATCTAAAGAGGTTATAATATTCTCGATGCACTCAGTCTTGACCTTGGCAGCATCAATAATGGGAATGAAAATGTATTCTCCTTTTTTTTTTTTTTTTTTTCAACTAAATGATCCTGGCATCTCTTGCGTGTTACAGTCTTGTGGTGTGCTGTGTAGACTTGTAACACAGAGTTCATTAAATTGTTTATATATGTGGGTGTCAACTGACAAAGAATGCTTATCTTTGCAAGTGTCCTCATGATTCCTATGAGACCCCTAAAAATGTTATTTATTTTAACTGAGTAATGGAAAATAATTGAAAAGGGAGTTCAACTTTCTTAAACTAGCTGTATAACACTTATAAGCAAATGAAAACTAAAGGTGATATGGTCAAGAGAAGTTATTAAGAAGTGCAACAGACAAACCTTTTGGTAGATTCTTGAGATATTTGCATGTAGCAATCAGTATTTTCATGTAGCCTTAAAAGATATTCTAAGCTAATATCTTCTCAAGATTGGCAAAATTAGGCTTACAGAGAGACTCTGTAGGATATATATGTATATAGGACTGTCAGTGTTGGTAGGGTGTTAGTGTATCCCACTGAAATAAAAGAGATTTATGAAGCAAAGTAGAAAATGACTAGTACTAAATACTAAAAATGAAACAAACAAAACATACAGAAAACTCAATAAAGCACTAATTCAGTATCTCCCACCAGTCTAGGTTCTTGTGGATTGTAGATAAAATGTTTTCCTCGTGGATCCCTTTGTGGTAGAATCAAAGTGAAATAAAATGAATAATGAATAAATAAAAATGAAGGTTCTATGACTGAACGTACCAAACTTTCAAAAGGCTGAAAAAGAAATGAGCTAACAGAGAAAGATAGCTACTTGCAATCTTTGATTCAAATGTGGCACTGAATAACTAAAACAGTAAATCTTTCCTACTTCAAGTTTCTCTTGTGACATTGGTCATTTAATTGAGAGTTACGTAATCAAATGCGTTTACAAGTATTTTGATTATTTGATATGACAGGATAGAAACAATATTTGCTTATTTTACTCAAATGTACATCAGTGACCATAGTGTCTTACAAGCATAAAATGAATTTCTGTGAGAATTCCTGCCATATCACAGAATCACAGAATCACCCGGGTTGGAAGGGACCCCAAGGATCATGTAGTTCCAACCCCCCTGCCTAGCAGGGCCACCAAACATACACATTCAGATCAGGTTGCCCAGGACCCCGTCCAACCTGGCCTTAAACACGTCCAAGGACGGGGCATCCAAATCATAATCTGGACGGGGCATAATCTGGTACCTGTCTGGTACAGGGTGATATGTGGTTCCTTTTGCTTAATCCCAAAGTTTTCTGAAAGTTACTTTACTTTAGTTTTCCTGAAATGTCTTTTAAGATATACTGCCCTGGAGATGAACCCTGAGAATTCAAGGAAATTAGATTCTTGTATTTTCTAAAAAGTAATTTTCGCCTGATATTTGTTGCAATTTAAGACTAAAATGACTTGTTTGGGATATTTGCTAGCTTATGATGACCTAAGTAAAAGGTTAATTGGATGCATGTGTTGGCTGCTTGCTGTTCAAAATACTGAAATTGCGGTATTAAAAATCAACTAAAAATCAACTAAATTATTTGCATATAAAAATGTGAAATAATTGATAATTTTATCTAACCTAATGCACAAAGTTTAATACCATATGCTGTTATAAAATAGGGTGTATATTTCTTTTAGTAATTTGTACTTGATGGATAGCTTGTAAATGAGCTGGTTTGCCAGTAAAGTAGCTAATGCATTTCAGCATGATGATTTATGTACTGTGTAATCCATGATGACAGATGGTCTTAAATGTAACTATAAATAAAACAGTAGGTGTTTACTCTGGGAATGCTGGTGTTCTAGGAAGTTGTGGTGAATTGCCAGTGTTTCCTGCTGCCTTTGATTTGCAAAGTTACTCTCCTTAAAATAGATTTTTCCTCTATTGTACAAAGACAAGAAGTTATTTTGACTTCAGCACATCAAAGAGACAACAGTTTCCCAAAAGTTGAAATGAAATTAAGAAGTTGGACCATTTAAAACAAAAGGGCCAGAAGAAATGGAGTTATAAAATGGTTGTTGAGAAAGTATTTTTGTTAGGCTGTCTTGTTTTCAAGTCTGCATAAAAAAATCTGGCTATAAGTGATATAACAAATATAGTTAAGTTGTTTAAAATTGCCTTGTATGTGGCTGATACATTCTAGAGCTCTCGTGTTTGGGTAAATGTTTTGCTAGAATGTGGTGCTGGACAGTCCCAGAGCAGCTGGTGACATTTCATCGCATTCATCCTATCAGAAGTGATGAGATTATGGCACCATACTTTTCCCGTTGACTACCAGGAGATATAGGGCTAGACTGCTTGACTCTACACAATAATGTCACACAGGTGTGCTTTTCCAGGAGTTGCATTCAGGTCTTCTCAGGGCTTGACCCACATTAGATGTGAGAAGGTGGGAGCTTAGAACTTGAGGAAAAATCTGCCTTAGGGGAGAGAAGGACTCTTGCATCCACTCCTCTACGTTGTGACTTGCAAAGCCATTGTCAAATCTTTGTGCTTTCCACAGATTATATTCTGTGCTTACTGCATGCCAGCTTGGTCGTGTGCATGGAAACAGTTACAGTGGTACTGTACAGAGGGAGGTTCTGCCATGCAGCCTCCCTAGATCTGCATCAATGTGTGTAATGTGATACATGAGGCTGCAGCGTGTGTGTCATGTTCACAATTCTGCTTGATTTGGTAATGCAAATTTAGGGGCTATTTGCGAAGTGTTTCCAACATTCATTTGGTTTATAAACGAGTGTTTTGTATAGAGTACTGGTTGGGCTTTTGTGTCACTGGTGTTTCTATGAAAGGGTCTCAAAGTTGTTTTTTTTTGGATGAATCCTACAAAAAATGTATGTCTCCGCAATTCAAGTGTCTCAAAAAGGGAGAAAACACTGTAAGATCTCTTGTTCTTCCCCTCCAGTTAAAGGAATGTAGCAAAATCAAGAGTCTGTCTCAATTTGCTTTGATTGTTAACACACAGTGTAGTCTATGTGGGCGGGTATTTTAATTTATTTTTTCCACTGTGCTCTGAATACTCTGGCTTTTTTTCAATTGCAGAACATTGAGAACTATGACAATTCATTTCTGTATAAAGCCCAGACCAACAAAGCCCATTATAGCCCATTATGGCTCTCGATACTGTCTTACTGTTTGTTTATATATGCCCTGTAATAATATCTAACTTTTGCGTTTGTTTGAAAGCAGCATTTTCGCACCTTTACTGAAGGAAAGACTAATAACTAAACACAAAAGAATTGCTGAACATCTGACTTCTGCTTGTTCAATTTAGTATTCATTACCTATGCAGACCCTGCCTGCAAAGGTCTTGCTCCAGAAAGTCAATGAAGTGCTTAATTGTCTTATTTTAAAAGCAGATTTTCTGCTGTTCTCTCATTACCTGAATGAGGCAAACTGTGAATTTGTAATTTCTAAGGGCCTTTAGTTTTTTTATTTGAATTTTTTTTTTTTTTTTTCTGGAAACTTTTCAGAACGTCCACTGCATTACACAGAGAATGTTCTAGAACAGGTTCTTCACTGGAGTTCACTACCAGAGCCCGGCACTGCATATCTGATAATAAAGAGATTTTTAACAGCAGACATGATGAAACTCTACAATGGTATGTATTTTTTTTATTGAATATCCTTGTGTCTGTACAGGAAATGAAAATTCTTTCACAATTGTTTCATTGAAGCAAAATGTCCCAGAACATCTGAATCACCAGTATTTTATAAAAGCTTGTGCTTCACTAACAGTTGTACTGACTTCCTTTTAAAACAGAGATCCAAAACCATACATAATTTCTGCAAATGATGCATGCCATGTGAACATACATGTGAGCTGAATGTATGATTTCTGTTTACAATTTGTGAACTTGTTCGCAGTCCTTCCACATAAATACTGAACTTTCTCTCTATGGGTGGACTAGATACATGCATGTATACGTAGTGTGTGTTATACATTAAACATAATTGTTTCTATTATGTAATCTGATGCCTCCAAACTAATTTGAGTAACATAGGCAACTAAATGACTTTTGTACAGCATGTGGCTGTTTGAAAGGATGAAGAACTAGACCTGGCACTTGAAAGGAAACACAGCTCAAATGTAAATCCCAATTTTCTACTTTATAAGCTACCCCAGTCATACTTTTCTTTTTTTTCGCGTTTTATCTGGAGTTAGATCTCCCACCTAAAAACGTTCAGCATTTAATTTGAGGGAAGCAGTTCAGAAGTTCAACATGCACAAAAATGACTTTTCTGTTTTCAAGCAGTTGAAATCTGTATGCTGTCACTAAAGCATGCGATGTTTCACCATAAAAAGAAATATTAATTTTTCCATCAGTATGTCTGTTATGTCTTCAAGAAGTAAAAGTTATGCTGTTATGCTTATTCTTCTGAAAGTAATAGCCTTCTCTCATCATTCTCTTTTCCACAGATATGAACAAACCTTAACAAGTATGTTATTCATGGCTTTTATATTGGAGTTTCACTATCTCTAAATGTGTTGCAGCTGATAGTGAATAGAGTGAAATAGCCTACTTCATTAAAAGCTTGATATATGAACTCCCATCACCTCACTGTGTGTTGAGGAATAATCAGTAAAAGGGAATGGGTTGTAAGGAATGTGTGTGAACTACTGTTCTGAGAAACACATAAGTATGAGGCTAGTGTCTGAAGTTCAATTTACAAAATGTAGTACTATCTAAAGGGGAGAGCTGACATTTGCCCACCTTCTTTTCCTCCTGCTTTCTATACCCATTTGTTCCCCCAGTCCATCACAGTAATTGAGTTTGAAGCAATTCTTTTCAGTTTGACCTTAGTCCAGACACACCAGCTTTTGATGACTGCGTGTTTACGTATATTGGTTCCTTTTTCTCGTGTTAAAATAATTAAAACCTTATTTATTAAATTTCTGCCATATTGCAAACTTCCAGTATTGATCTCAGAGTAACCTCATGTACAACAAACATGTTTTCTTGAATATGGAATCACTATTCTAGGGAGCTTTTATGTGGTGAACAGATTTTAATTTCTAAAGCTTTAATTTCTTAAAATGCTTCTTGCTATGAGAAAATAAAAATGTTTAAAATACAAATAGTTCTATAATCATTATATCTTGTAGAGGTTCTGAGACTAGTTCCTAAATTTGCTCTGAAATATTAACAATAATGAGCAACTAATGCACAAATTCACTAGCTTCAGCAAGACAATGTATGTATTGTGTAGGCAAAATTGCCTAGAAGATCCGAATCAATAATTTTGTAGTTGCAGAAATTTAAATGTTTATTGTTTCTGTTTCTAGTCTTGTACCTGTACATGCTGAAAACATATAAGCATCTATTTCAAGGCAAAAAGATGTCTTTAGATCAGCACTGAACTTCCATCACTAGACATTGTTAAAATGATAAAAGAACAGGATTAAGCCACTGAGGAAACAACTTCAGTTTCCAGAGGGAGGCAGCAGTCGTGGTTATGCTGAAGATCTCCTACACAAAGTACACAAGAAATCTGCAGGCCAGTAGGGAGGATGATCTTGTCAGTCTTTTACCCTCTTTATGTAGATATTTTCTCATCACTAACTGAGCAGTTGGACTGAGTCCAGATGTTCAACTGCTGTTATTCATAGTGTGGTTTTTAGTAGTGAATTCAGCCCGTACAAATGGACTCTACTGAGTTGATGGTTTTCTTCCTCTTCATTAAAATTCATAGGACTTTGATCACATTTACGTTTATAATTGAATTTGGTGAATTTTACTTTCTTCTGTGATTTGTATTAGAATCTTCATAAATTATGATACTTCTGACCTTTTTTTTTCTGTTAATATTATTTCAGAGTTTTGTATCATCAGCATTTCTCTTCTAGAGGCATTAATGATATTTGAAGTAATGTTAGTTCAATAGTGAGCCTATAGAAGCAACTCTTTTAGCCTCATTTTATTCTGGCAACTTATCAGGGCCTTTCCTGTCAGTGAAACTTTTACCATGTTTCCTATATGTAGTATACTTTGTCCTTTCTCATAACTCTTTCACTCTTTTTTCTTTTCTTAAACTGATTTCTCATGTTCTGCAATACCAAACGTTGTAGTGAGGTATAGATTTATATTTTTTCTTGTTTAGAGATCAGTTTTTCTTTTCATGGAAAAGAAATGGTTCATTCTTACTGATATGTTTCAGAATATTTGTTGTGAATTTTATACTTTCCTCCAAATCTTTAGTTCTCTCCTGGCAATTTATTCTATAGCTTTTGATGCCTGTTGCAGAAGCGCTGTCTTTGAAGTGCTGTTCTGCAGGGCAGGGTGTGCATTGCATTTTGGTATGAGAGATACTCTGTGCTGTGTAGTTCTATTTCGAGACCCTTTATCTTCTCCTTACCTGAATTTTTCCCCTATTAAAGATGTATTTGTTAGAAAAATGTGAGGGAATGGATTCACTATAAAGTGTGTATAAAAGTACTTGATTTTTTTCCTGGTAAAGAGTTGTATAATTTGAGTGGGAAGTGTTGATATCTGAGAACCAGGGGCTATTATTCAGAGAGATTCTTTGTAACACTTCAGTACTGAATGTGAATCAACCCTGAATGGATTAAGTACCTCCAGTTCTTAGTAGCTGCAAAATTCTGGAAAGCTTCATGTTCTTCACAAAATTTATATCTGAAAAATAGACAGGACGTGGACTGATCATTTTAGATTTGTGTGTGGAATACTTCTGAGGAATACAGAAAATCATAAATCAGAGGAATATTTTTTCCTCTTTCAGGCTTTTACAGATCTTTGCAAGACTGAGTGTTCCTGGATTTGCTAAGGTGGGAATGCTAAAAAGTTTAGGAAGTGGGAGTCTTGTTGATCATTTTGAAAGCTATGTGTAGAAATATAAAATATTCCAACTGGTAGAGCATTCTGCTTCTCTCACTTGGTATATTTAAAAAAACAAAACAAAACTAAACAAAAAAAAAACCTGCATTGGTGTGGATAAGGACTCATTTTCCACTCTGAATACCTCTGAATACGAAACAAATTCTCTTAGTGGCAGAGAGAAAATATGCTCATGTTTGTGTTTTTTTATTGTATGTTTGCGCAGAGAGCTGAGGAAATCAGACTTTTGATTTTTTTGCATTAGATTCTGTCGTAAGCTAAAGAAAATAGTGGGAAATATTATGTTGAGATTTCTTTTTAAAGGCAAACATGCTGATTAGAATGTAGTTGATAAAAATCAAAGAAATTTAATACCTTTTACAATTTCTACTATATTTTCTAAAGTATTTCTAAACTCCAGTTTGTGGTAAGATATAAGACAAGAGGGAAATAGATTCGCAGTTTTTAATTGTCTTTTGTCAATAGAGTTAATCAGAATAATCAGGTGTCTGAATCTGGATGTTACCTATTTATTTTTTGTGCATACACATGTGTGCATATAAAACTGTATTTAGTATGTATCTCACTATTTGAATGTTGGGGTCCTTCCTAAATAATTGTGTGGAAAAATTATCTACATGTTCTTCCAAGGGAGGACAAAGAATATAAATATTTAAATATAAATAATTAAAAACAGTATGAGCTGCATTTGTCTTGGACTTTACTTTTTATGATCATTAGTGATATTTCATGCAATTTCTGATAATTGTACACTACAGCCAGACTGGCTTCTTAAGCATTGTTATTTGTGTAGTTTGCTGTGTAATACTATTCTTCACATTGGAAAAAATACCTGTGGCAATAGGTTTAACCTACAGAAAAGTCATCTCTGTATTCTTCTAACTGATCAAATGAAAATGCATTTTGTTATTTATATGGTTGATTTATTTAAAACATTTTATTCTTATTTTTGAGATTATAGTGTGTACTATTTCACAATAATGGATATTTTTTGTATCTGTTTATCAAGTCCTAAGTGGAACCAGCTAATTGAATTAGGATGCTGTACTCCATATACTACATACTCTTTTTGCATCACAGTTTTGTTTACTAACTTGAAAGGAGTATGCTGTAAAAAAAAAAACTGCTAGTATCATAAGATTTCTAAAAAAATTTATTCAATAATTCAAAAATAAATGAATGAATTATGTACATCTAGAAAAATAAAATGAGTATTGATGGCCAAAGTAAGTAGTAAGATTGTAATGTTTTGAGTGAAAGTAATTTGTTACCGTGTTAGTATATAGCTCCCTCTTAAAGATGAAATGTTGTCTAGAATGGAGGAGAAGACTTTATCTCCTTCTGGCTGCTCTTTCTTCATGCTGACAGTATGTTTCCAGCATGTATGAGTGTGTACATACATATAGGAAAGAACTGGAAAAAGAGAGGCACCTTGAACTGGTATTGGAGTAATTTATATGTATTAGTAATGAGCTTCAGTAGTTCTTACTTTAATAAAAGCTTTTTATTTTTACAAAGTTTATTTATGAAGCAGACTACCGTCTTTATTTTAATATGTACATATACTAAATACATGTTTCTTTGTGTATTTTGTATACGTAGCTGCACGTTCTTTTCTGAGAAGATCCTTTTAATTTATTTGGTGAATTCTTTCTGTGTTATCTTAGGAGTAAACATTAAAATACATTTCCTACCAATAATTAAAATCATTATGTTATTAAAATTTGAGTGCCGTTATTACTAAAATCAAAGTGTAATTTTTGTCTTTTGATAAACACTAATACTGAGAGCACTTAAAAATAAAGTCGTTGTTTCCAATGTTGTAACAGATTCTAACAAAGAGCTTTTTACTTTCTTGGTAGAGAGAAATGTGAAGGGTAGTGTGAAAGCTGGCTATCTAAAGTACAAAGAAGAACCTTCAAAACTGCTGTCTGGAAACAAGTTTCAAGAGCGTTATTTTGTACTACGGGAAGGAAATTTGCTTCTTTACAAGGATATGAAGGTACAGTTAATTCTTCACTAGTTTAATCATAAATGCTGCCTTGAACTTTCTTTTTCATGTAGAAATGAAAAGGCAGACAAATAGATGAATGTTCCTGATACTAAATGGCTGCTTTTAGTGATGTACAAGAATTTAAGGTCCTTATTTCAGAGGCTTTAGTAAGAAGAGCAGCAATTGTTGATTTAGCTATTTTGATTATGCTATATTACTAGCTGTAAAAATGTTTATGAATGCTTACATTTCCTTGTGCTGTGAGTAAAATGAAAACCTCTGTAGACAGTGGTGTTAGAAGTAATATGAAGTTGGAACTGCATGCTGTTTTTTTCCAGTATCTCACAGATCTTTAGAGATCAGAAGCAACAGGAAACTTTTACATACAGATGTCACGAGTGAAGAAATTATAGGAAGTAACATCATTCATTATGCCAACAAAAGCTTCCCCTTCTTCCTGATAACATTGACTTTCCTCTTAGTTACTGAAAAGCATGAACTTTTTCTACTGATGTGATAGTAAGACTGAATCTTACTTACAGAATCTTTCTTATTTGCTTAATAGCAAAATGGGTTCAGTTTTAAGTATTTAAAGGGATTTTTCTTTAAAGAGTATAGAAAATTTATTAAACTATAGAACTAAATAACATACAATTTGAACTATGTTTTCACATGGTTTAAAAAAAAAAATTTAAGTTTGAAGAGCATTTATTTTTTATTGCTATTTTTTGCCCAACCAGCAAACATATGTGCCTTGCTCACCTTTATACAGTATAATAAGAGGTATTTTTGTATGCTTGACATTCATTGTTAATCTAGTGGGGGGAGGGAGGGGGAAGTGTAATCTTGAGACTGTGGATATTATTCTAGTTAAAATGATCCCAGAATGTCAGGAATAGTATATTGTAATTTATTGCTGACACTCAAATTGGTACACATATGAGAGTATACCAATAAGCCCATCAAATCTTAATAACTTGGAAAAAGTTTATGGTACAGTACAGTTATCGTACTACTTTATGATCTCCTTTTAGAGCCATGCTGATTCATAAAGCATTAAATTCCTAAATTGAGGTGGAAATTTTGCTGGCGTTGCTTTTAAATGGCTTTATATTTTAAAATAAAAGAAAAGAGATACTACATGGAAAAATAATTTAAGTATATTTCTTTTTTTTGAGAGAGATGTTCATCCACCACTAGTAGTCTTGGTTAAATTCTATGTTGTAGTCAGAAATGAATAGTAGAAAGAGATGACACTACAGATGGAAAAATGGTATTTAATAAGATTGTGTGTAGTAAATAATTTATGAATTCTCATTAAAAACAAATTAAGATTATATATTCAGGTAGAGATGTATTCTGTTAAGTGTTTCTTCTGTTCAGTAATTATCAAAAAAGTTTCTATGATACTTATGTTAATTTGATTTCAAAGAAATCTCAAGGGATCCATGGTTTGACTTACTATTTTCATGTCAGGGCCAGAAATGAGGTCAGAACGAGTTGCTCAAGAACTAACCCAGTTGAGTCTTGAAATCTCCCAAGTGCAGAGATAGCACAATCTCTTTGGACAGCCTGTTCCTATACCTGACTCTTCTCATGCAAAAGAAGTTTCTCTTCGTATTTGGTCTAGTTTCAAATTGACTTTCATTTTCCCACCATATGCCACTGCAAAGAGCCTTCTCTGTGTAACCTATCCAGACCTACTTGTGGGTTTTTGAAGCCATCTCTTCTCCTATCTGAACAAGCCAACCTGTGTCAAGCTCTCCAGCCCCCAGACAATTTTGTGGCCATCTGCTGAAGTCACTCAAGAATGTTGATTCTTTTCTTTCGTTGGGGGACCCAAAAGCAGATGCAGGACTACAAGAGCTAAGGAGAGGGGGAAAAACTCCAGCTACTTTGCAGTGTTATTGCGGGGTGTTCTTCCTTCTCAAGTACGGGATTTGAGGTTTATCTTTGTTGAATTTCCTAGGGCATGTTGGTTCATTTCTTCAGCCTCTGCAAATTCCTCATGTTCCCAAGTATATTGACTAGTCATGTAAGTTGCAGTGCAAGCTTAATGATTCACTCCTCCATGTGATTGCTGTAGATGTTAAAAAGGACACAAAAGGCTACTGCAGTATTCCTCTTGTCACAAGCCTGCAGTTATAGTGTGTCTGATTAACCATTAACCTCTGAGTGTATTCATGCAACTGGCATTTTACTGATAGTGATGTTGCATCCATTGAGACCTTAAAATCCCAACTTGAATAGAAGATTATTTTGGGAGATAAGTGTCAGAAGCGTTGATAAAGTTGAGGTAAATTTATACCTACTGCTTTCCCTCCTGTACAAATCCAGTCATCTTATTGTAGAAATCAATCAGCTTGGTTGTACTGTTTGTTCTCAGTAGCACTGTCAATTCCATGTACTCAGAAACGTACTCTAAGAAGCTTGCTCCAGAATTTCCCCAGGGAGTAAAATGAGGCTGGGAGACAGCAAATTCCCCAAGTCATCTTTGCACCTCTTAATAATGTCTCAACTCCAAATCAGCCTTGGCTGTCCAACCACTGTCCCTCCATGTCCTAAGTAGCATTTCTAAATTTCTTGCTTCATAACCTCTCCCTTCTTCCACTTCCTGTATGCTGCCTTTTTGTGTGTTGGAGTTTCACTAGAACCACCTGGGCTACTCACCTGACAGTTGTTTTCCTGAGTATTGAGATGAATAGTTGATTTTGGCTAATGCTGTCCTTAAATACATTTCCTGAGTTTCTTTACTCCTTGAAGCTGCCTCCTCCCATCGACAGAACTCTTAGTTTCTTGAATAAGCTAAAACTTGCTCTTCTTGGTTTGTTCTCTGCTAACTTTTCAATGTTATTCTTCTCGGAATCTTAAGTACCAGTATTTTGCAGTTGTTGTGATCAGTACTACCATCTGTATTTAGCAGATCCAGATTTGCATCAACCACTGTTGGCCCATTCAAACCAGTATCAAGAAACATTCCTGACACCCTCTAGAAATCTGCTGAACTGCTTGTGTCCTGCTGTGTTTCACTTCTATCAGACAACTTGGGGGAGAAAAGTCCTGTTCTCCCTTACACTGTAAAAGTTGGAATCTATTGTCCAGTCACTTTCTTCAGTTGTTTAAAGATTGATTTTTTTATTTTTTTTTCTCATCTTGATTATGTGAACTGGAGTAAATACTATGATACTTGACATTCCTTGGAAAAGCTCAATTATTACAGAAAGCAGCCCTCCTTTCATCTTCCCCGACTGTATCTCCTGAAGAGTTTGCATCCATTCAGTGCAGCCCTCCATTCTTGTGACACTTGCCACCACGTCTCTATTATTTCAACTGTTATAGTTTTACGACTTCATGTTGAGCTCAAGTTCTTGCTAATTAATCTTTTGCTAGTAGTAGTGACTGGCACCCTTTCTTAATGGGAAAGAAAAAGAGGAAAAAAGCATAATGATCTATTAGAGAAGAGTGATTCAGTCCATGAGAGTTGTATGGCATTTTCTTCTTTTGTATGTTCCTGATACAATAATTGAAATCTTAATTTATTTGCAGGCTAGCAAACCTGAAAAAGTGTTGCCTGTCAACTCACTGAAGCTTTATCTTGGAGTGAAAAAGAAAATGAAACCACCAACAAAGTAAGAATAAAAATGAAAAGAAGCTAAATACCATGTAACAAGGTACTGTAGGGCCTTAGATAAAAGGGAGCGTAAAACACTGTGGAACTGGAGAAAGTTGAGAAGCCATTTGAAGTATGCTGTATTAAATTACCCTCCATAATATTATTTGTTCCGATGTTATCTCTGTTCTTGTGTTCCATGTTAACTCTTCTGTACTAGGAAATTACTTTATTGATTGGCTTTTCTTAATCTTAAATGTATTATCTCTTGTGGATATGTTTGCTGCCAGCTCACTTAATTTTGGAGTATGTGCCCTGCATTTCATTGGTGGACACACATTCTTTGCATCAAGAAAAAGGGAAAAGAAGAAAAAAGCAATTAGTTGTGGCCTTTAGTGACAATCCCCGTTGTTCAGCAGAAGATTTCATTTTTCAGGACCCCTGTTATTTTTGATATTTCTCCTTCTAGATGAATACTACTGTGCCCTTTACAAATATCAGTGACTATGTCTCTGGAAAAGTGGAGTGAAAAATGACACCTGTTTTTTTCAGATGTTTCTAGTACTTCTTTCTTTAAAGCCTTGAGACACAGCGACAATAAGATTTCATACCAAGGGGATTCTAAGCAGACTGTACCCTGTAGGAGATTTGTCTAAACTTTTCCCTTACTGTTGGCATATCAAAATGCCCTCCAAAAAAGTCTGTAAATTTCAAACTGTAGTTATCTTGAAGAAAAAGTTGGTGGGGTTCCGTTTTGTGGGGCTTTTCATGTTTGATGTTGTTTTCCTTTTTTCAACAGGACAGCATGGGGGGGTGTTCTTGGGTGTCCTTTTTTTTTTTTTTTTTTTTTTTTTTTTTTTTTTTGTATCTTTGTGTTTAATGCAGAATAAGTAGTTGAGTAGTCCAAAATAAAAAGGCAAAGGCTATGTAAATGAGTCTTTGCAGGTAGGTTATTTCTTTGAGGCTTATTTTCAGTCTAACTGTTTAAACTCAGAATTTACAAAGTCTCTTCTAGAGCCCTAAGAGCATCTGGGTGTTTTTTTCCACATCAGAGACTTCATTGTGATTTCTTTATTGGACACTATCTTAGTAGTTGTTTTGCTTCCAACGGTTTTCAGAAAGAACAGCTGCCAAAATGAGGCAGGCAGTTAGCCATGATCTCCAGGACTTGGCTATAAACCTTTGTCCCGAAGAGAATGCTTATAACCTGTGAGTCAGTTGTGGGAAAATGAGTGAAATAAAATATCAAACCCTCAATAGATTTGCAATATGCATTGAATCGTACTGAAAACAAATAAACAGATAAAAAATACTACATAATTCATTGCCTATAGCTTCAGGAAAATGCTCCTGTCTTGATTTTCTGAAACTAATTTTGATATTTTCTTTTTCAGCTGGGGAATTGTAGTGATTTCTGAAAAGCACCAGTGGTATGTAAACATGAAACACATAATTGTTTTAACTTCAATGTTTAATGTTTCTTGAAATGTTCCATTTCAAAATAACTATGTTTTAAAACTAGTAAACATTATTTTGCTTAAATGTTGACGAGTTGTTACATTTTTCCTAATTAACTAAACAATTGCAGTTGATATATTTTGGTAATCTCAAGGAGGTTAGTTGTCCGTCTCTTCTCTATGGCCATAAATCAGCAAACAATTTAAAAATTTTCGATTAAAAATTCATGAAGTCTATACACATGCTTTAAATTAAGCAGATAGAATGTCTTCAAATAGGGTTAGGTGATAATCTGAGATAATAATAATTCATTGTCTTTTTATGGGAGTCTTAAAAAAATGAATATTTGCAACATTCATAAATGTATGTAAATTCTATTTGAACTTGTCTAGAAATTTAGTCTTTAATATCTGTAGTTGCATTATGTTGTTTTATTTTTTTTCCTTGTTAACTCTTTGTTCTAGGCATATATGTTGTGATGGACAGGAAGCACAGATAGACTGGATGATCAGCATTTTTACTGCAAAGGTACTAATCTGATCAAATGCAAGAAATGCCGATTTTACTGCTGTTATGAAAATCCCATTAAAATGACATGTATTAGTTATAGATGCACTATGGATAAACCCGCAATACCATTAAGATGTCTGGAGTATACAGTGCATTAGTGCTACAGAAAGATGGTTTTAGTCTTTGAAGACTACTGTTTACAATTGCGTTTTCATATGAAAGCTGAGAGCTTTGAGGCTTAGGGGGAAGAACATCAGTATATTCTGAGATCTTATTTTCCTCCTGTGTACTAGGGAAGCTGCTTAAAGAAAGACAAGTTATTTCCTTTGCAGTAACAAACCTCTTTTGTGTGAAATTCTAGCTGATGACACAAAGGTTATGCTTGTCCCACAGAGCCTGAGTACTCTTTCTGTGGATGCTGGATGCTAAGTAGTCATGAAAAAAAAGTACCTTGTTTAAACACAGTGGTGGAAACTAGTCTTGTTGGAGAGCTGTGCCAACACAGGTGTGTTTTTCCTGGTATCCAAGTTAGCTTAATTAACACTGGCACTTAATTGTGTTGTCTAAAATTAAGTTATCTGCTTGTTACTAGCTTGTGAGCAAGGAGGTTGTAATTTTGAGTGCCTTGTAAATCACCTTTGCCAATGGAATTTAGTATTTAAATGGTGAGAAGTGAGAGATGGGAAGATGGGAAGAATGCAGTCTGACATTAGACTAGAACAGATTTGAAGTTCTTAAAGGGATTTGGCACTTGGGACTGATTTTTTTTCTTGTCTTACCCATGATATTCAAGGAACTTTGAGGGATATCACAGTGAATAAACAATGATAGATTTATGATAACCCGTGAACTTTACATATTACATTAAGTGGGCTGGGAACTGCTGTTGCAATGCATACTTTGTAAACGCTTTCTGAAACAGTATCTATATCTCTGACCTTCATAGGTAGTAGAGCTAGAAATATAATGTATGCCTTCTAAAGTAAAACAAATTTTGGTCTTATCCAGCTCCCTTAACTGAAGTAGCTATCGTAGTTTCTATGGAAACAGCCACCAACCCTGGCATACATCTCATGGGCATAACACGAGCAGTGTCACAACAAATAGGCTCAGAGGTTATTGATATAGGCTATTTCGAAATAACTCACACAAGCTTTGTAAGTGTTGAAACCCTTCTGACATGAAATCACAAGGAAGGCAATCAGTTATGATTCTGATCAGGTAGTGTGGTATGCAGAATGTTACTCTGACAATATAGATAAACAAAAGGCTTATCAATGTTTAAGAGATGCTTTCTAACGTAACAAATTCACATGCATTTTAGAAAAATTATGAATTAATACTGTTTTATGTTGTTGTTGTTATTAATAATACTTGTATTTTGAATGCTTCATTCTCCTGAGGCCAAAAAATTGATGATACTAATGCAATACCTTGAGATTTTTTATTTTTTATTTTTTTTAAAACCAGTGTTCTGGACAAAAATAAAAGTTAACAGTCTTTAAATTATATGAAATATTAAAGTGAAGCTGTATTGTTTTATTAGAATGTACTGCTTAAAGTACTATTTACATAGAATTATTTTTTTATCACAAAGCATTAGATCATTTTTTTCACGTTGTCCCCTTTCTAAACAAGAAAACTTTAAATGCAGCTGAGTTGTTACTTCTGGTTAAAACTGTCAAGTGGATTCCATCTTTAGAGAAGATAACATTCTTCTACCTTACATTATCACAGTAATTGGAAAACTTTATATTAGAAAGACTTCAGACAGCATGTTTCATTTATGTCAGTAGAGTAGCCGAATTTAGTTTACAATTTGAGAAATAGTGTAAAGAAGATTTTGGAGTACTAAGACATTTGCATTAACTGGTCTGGTGCAATTAGAAGGGAGAGAAATCTCCTAATGTGCTCCTAGGTGCTTAAATAGACCAAAACTTCATGTTGGTAATTTTGTACTGCTATCAGGAAAAGGAAGAGAAAAAAATAAAATTTCTTAATTCCTGAAGTATAAACAGTATAGAGTGTCTAAACAGGAAAGTTAGAATCATAAAATCATAAAGGTTGTAAAAGAACACTAAGACCATCTACTTCAACCATCAAAACATCACCACCTTGCCCACTGAACCTTGTCCCTCAATGCCACATCAACTGTTTTCCTGCAAACCTCTAGGGGGACAGTGACTCTACTACCTCCTTGGGCAGCCTGTTCCAATGCCTTAGAACTCGTTCTGAGATGTACTTCCTAATATCCAGCCTGAACTGTGCAGTTCAAAGCCACTACTTCTCATCCTATCACCACTTACCTGGGAGAAGAAGCTGGCCTCCACTTCACCACAACCTCCTTTCAAGTAATAGTAGAGAGCAATAAGGTCTTCCCACAAGCCTCCTCTTCTCCAGACTAAACAATCCCAGTTCCCTCAGCCACTCCTCGTGAGACTTGTGTTCCATATCCTTCCCCAGCTTCACTGCCTTTGTTTAGATAAGGAAGTTGTAGATACCACTATAAGTACAAGAGTACTTTTACTACAGAAAGTCAATTTATTCCACAGTTTATTCAATTTGTACTCAAATAGTTAAATACTGAAAGAGTTTGGAGGAGATCAGTTGTTGCTTGTAGTGCTATGCAAAGTCAGTCTGAAAAGTATGGCCTAAAACTTCATTCTTTAATTCTACAGTAGTTTTGTACAAGACTACTAACATATATAAGAGACAATTGGAAAGAATTAATTTATATGAAAATTGATGCAATTGTTTACTTCCAATTCTGTTGCTTCTGTTTGACTGGAGAGAGGCATACTGTGTTACTGTAATGTACAGTTGGGAGGATAGGTAGAAATTAGGCTATATAATAAATTTATTTATTATAATCCATTGCTAGTATTTCTGTTACATTTTCCCAGAGTTCTACTTTAAGAAATGTTACAGGCACAAAAAATGGAATTACATCCTTAACGCCTTACATTCCTTCAGCTGAAAATTAATGGAGGTGGTTTCCTTCAGATGCTCACTTAAAGCCTCTTATCCACTTTTGGAATCACTTCTGTTTTTTATGTCTTAGAAATATAGAATCATTTAAGTTGGAAGGGACCTCTAACAATAATGTGTTCCAACTCCGCTGAAATGAACAAGCACACCTGCAGCTAGATCAGGTTGCTCAGAGCCCTGTCCAGCCTGAGCACAACTGTCTCCAAAGATGGGGGCATCCACCACTTCTCTGGGCAACTGGTTTTAGTGCTTCACTACCCTTATTATGGTCTACAATAAATTGTTTTTGATCTTTTCTTTCAAATAAAACATTACTGTTGTTTTATTGGAAGAAAAATGAATGTTCTTAGTGTTCAGAAGGGAGAGCTTTTACAACAGAACAGTCTTTTGTATCACCCAGGCCAATACCATGTGTACCCTTGCACTCCAATATGCAAATATTTCTTTATATTGAGTTCTGGTTACTGTATCACATGGGTGTCCAACCTTTTGGCTTGCCTGGGCTGCAGTGAAGATAAATTGTTTTGTGTTGCATATGTTAGATTGCTCTGAATGTAATGCCTCCTATTTATTTCCGTGGAAGCTACAACAATAGTACAATAGCACTGATAGAGGAAACTCTCAGTTACAAGATGCTAGCTAACCACCGTTAGCTATGCATTTTTGTCTACTATGGACAGGAGCCTGCATGCTGCACTCATACAAATCTGCATCAGTGGAGGAAACTCGCTCTTGCTGTTGTCACTCTAAAAGCATGCCACCTCCCGCATCACTGTACTCGCATCCACTGTTTGGTCTCCATAAAGTTTCAGCAAAGGTCAACGAAAGTCGATGAGTGAAATGTTTTCCTTATGGAAAAATTCAGTTACACACTTTTACTTCATAAGCACTTCTATGTCAGACATCATTCTGTTAGACTGTCCCTCCATTGCTGTCTGTTGCACGGCAACAAAATGTAGTGGAATACTGGTGTGAAGGTTCAACCTCTACTGCCATACCACCAACATCCACCATTGCTGTGGCCAAATAAAATGGGAGGCATTACTTTTGGAGCTACCCTTATAAAATATATAATACAACTAATTTATAGAAGTAACAAAACATTTTAATTTTTAGTATTTCTTATTAAAACATAAAAAAGGAAAGCAACAAAGTGGGATATTTGACCTTATTTTCGTGAAACTAATGCATCAGGCTGGTTTGATTTCAGTGGTTTCAATTCTTAGTGAGTTCTTAAGGTAATAGTTGGAGATTTTTGTTGAAATTTTATTTTTTCTGTGCTTCATCCTTGAAAACAGTTATGTACGTAATACCAAAGAGGGATGACATGAATAAGATGTGATTGTAAAGCAAGGGATATTTCTCTCTGCTATCACTGGGCTTATAAAAACCAATAAAGAGATGTGATCACTTTTTTTTAGTTGAATGTCTGATTGCAGCTCTACATTCCATTTGAAAATTTGCAGGTAATGTGTGTTGACTGAAAATAGAGTTACAAATATACAAAAAAAAAGTGACAATATTTTAGGCGATATTGAAACTTGTTCTCAAATTCCTTCATCACAATAGAAAGTATAGCTACATATTTTTTTACTTCTCACAGGACAGCGTTTAGCCAGTGAATCAAAACACATACATTTAATTGCCATAACTTCAGCTGACATTGCTCTGTGCCCCATGTCTTGTTTTCAGCCCAGATAGGTTTCATAGTACACTGAAGTTTGCTTCATTCTAAGTGACAGTTGCACACCTTGAGCCTGGCCAGCTTGCTTGACAGGGCAGAGCTGCTGCCATGATGGGTGGGTTGCATTGCAAGCTGTGCTGGGCCACAGGTGGGCAGTGGGTTAGGGTTGCCTGCTATATTGCTTGTCTTTTTTTGAATTTAATTTGGAATATTCAGGTAATTATTATTTTTTTTTTTTCTTTTCCCAGTTATGTATTTCACTGCATACTTTGCATACTTTGGGATTCTCCCCAGAACTGACCTATTTCAATAGAGCAAGAAAAGACCAAAAGCCAAATTTATTTAAGTGTAGGTTATGTTTTTTTGGGACATTCAGACTGTCAGACCATTTCTTTCTGGATAAACACATGCCGTTATTGTAGAACAAGCAATATTTTTCTCCTGAGCTATTAATATAAATTTTTAAACGTTTGCAAATTGGGATAGTATTATTTCAGAAACTTGTATTAGCTCTTCTGAAAGCATGCTTTTGTGGAGTTTGAAAGTTTTTGAGCAAATATATGGGTTTGTCTTGCATGAGGATGTTTTCTATTACTAGTAGATAATTGTATTGATATGCAGTGTGGACAGAAGATCAAAATGCATGAAAATTGCATAGAGACATTTTGATTCTGTTCACCCAGTATTGTGCAGCATTTATGAACTATTAATGTAATTTTAAGCACCATACTGCGTTTCCCCTCTCCCGGGAAAAAAATGTGGTGTCGTGTAGTTGATAGCTTTTTCCAAGACAATTTTACATACAAAAGAATGATGTATCTTTATGAAACTGCACTCCAAAAATAAGGAATTTTTTTGTTCTTCAGCATGCCAGTATATGGCCGCCTGCTGGAAAAGCAAGAAAACAGTCTATAACTAAAAGTCCAAAGATTGGAGGTTTACAACTAATTCCCATTCAACAGGAGAAGACAACTTGTAAAATCAGAGGGAGTACAGAAGTAAGTAGGGTTTAATCTTGGTGTGGAAGTTCTAATGACAATGCTGTACATCTAAATAGTCTAGTAATAATGACCTCTTTAGAACTGAATAAATGCAAAATGTAGGTGCTCTTACTGTCAAAATCCTTTTCATTCATTGTATAACCATTAAAAGATTACTTAAGACAATTTAATGTAAAAACAAAACCATCCTATTTTGACCTAATCTTGTGTCAGCGATTTGGCTGTTCAATAAATCAATAATGGATTTTATTTGTTTATTTGTTGGGCAAGGTTTGCTCACTGGAAATAAACAGGACTACTGTACATTACAGTTTTATTTCAATGATGTCCTTGAAAGCTTTTGAGCATATGTATTCTGTCATACTTTTTCTGCTCTCCACAGTATCTGTTAGGGATTAGTTATATGCTCAGTGAATGTAATGGGAAATCTCAACTGGAACTAACTATAAGACATTTTTAAGTTGTAATATTTTTGGTCTCAAAGAACAGGGTCAGAGTTTAATTACAGCTGTTTATGGAGACTGACTTCAGTGTCTCTACAATATATGCACTAATGGTATGTTTCAACATTATCATACAAGCTTAAGATGAATTTCTGGCATCCACGTAGAGATACTGGTGCTTCTGGGAATACTTTTGTGCCTTATTTTCGGCTGGAAAGATGCACTGATTGTGGAGTCACTGATTTGCTTGGGGAAAATAGTGGTAAATAATTGGAAAGCTGAAGAGAAGACATGCAGGAAAACAGTTTGGACCTTAGACTGTATGCAGTATAATTTCTTGCATGTATAAGATTTTGAAAGAAGAAAATATGGAATATGTTATTGTCCTTTAGAGACAGCGTTTCAGGCAGAAATCATTGGAGTTGACTCAGTTCCATAACAAACCAAAAGAAAAGAAAAAGGTGGTGCTTTACTAACAAGCACCTTCTTTTTCTTTTTTTCTGTCTCCTTTTGTTACACATTTTTAAAATGCATTTCTGTTCTTTCTTAACAAGGATTATAATACAGTGTGAATGCAGTTACTGTTTTTCTCTCTTGCTTAAGTAGTCCTTTCATTTTAGCTTTTCTCAGGAAAGTACGTTTTGAAACTCCTTTTAATATTTGCATTTTTAAGCATTTTTAAAAATTTGTAAATGAAAGGAAAATACAAGTCTTGTCATTCAAAAAGCTCTGTAACCCTTAGGTATATTTTTAATTCTTGTATCTTTGATTCTGGATGTATGATGGCTACTCTAAAAGTAATGCTTTCTATTTATTATGTTGGCCCCCGATGTCAGAAGCAGATGTTTGTGGTATGACAGTAAAGACCGAACCTTCCCACCAATATTCTGTTAAATTTTGCTGCCATGGGGCAGATGGAGGCAGAGAGGCAGTGTGACAGAATGATGTCTGACATGGAAGTGTTTATGAAGCAAAGGTGTGTCATTGAGTTGGAAAAAAATTGCACCCACTGACATTCATCAATGCTTGCTAAACGAAAGCGAACAAAGGACATGAACACTGTGAGGTGATGGGTGGTGCATTTCAGCAGTGGAGATAGTGACAGTGGGTCACCTCCACTGGTGCAGATTTGTCGGAATGCAGCATGCAGGCTCTTGTTCATTGTTGGTGAAAAAGATAATGATGGTTACTAGGTTAAAATGGTATTTTGTAGCTGAGAATTTTATCTATCAAATAGTATTATTGTGCTCTTAATATCTGTTATAGTTTATACAGAAATAAACAGGAGGCATTACTTTCGGAGCAACCTATGTACGTTACAGATTTTTGATCTGTTCTTTGAGACAACTTCCACCCTAGAAGGCTGGAATCTGTAGTTTTCTTGGATTTTGAGCTTCAATGTTTTAAATCCTCAATATCTTACAGTAACAGAAAGACTCTTTTTTTGATTGTTGGTGTGCTTTGTTAACAAGAACTGCCATATTTTGTACCCTGCAACTCAGAAAACATTTCTGTTTGATCTTGAAAGTAAAGATCTCAGTCTCTATCTATAACTATATATTGACACATTTTATACAGGCATTATTTGTATATTTGAAGAAGAGTAACACCAAGTTAGATAATGGAAAACAAAAATATAACACTTTTTTTTTTTTTTTTTTTTTTTTTTTTACATGAATGTCAAAATCAGAATGAACTGATATGGCTGACTGTTAGAAAATGAGTATTTCATATGAGTGATTATAGGGCAATACAGCACAGCAGTGTAGTTTGTGAGCTGATACATATCTATTTGTAGACCACAACTTCATTATTCCCCCAGATTTGTAGTTCTTCTCCAATAAACAAAAATGCCTTATTTTAAAATGTTAGGGACTTATGACAGAATAAAGCATTTTCTGAAAGGCACTGGTTTATGAAAAATGGAGGTGTGCTTTACAGAACAGTGTGAAAACTTACAGTAGAAATGTGATCTAATTTGTCTTATAGGCAGGAGAAGAGACTGGAAGTTCTCCAGATGGTTAAAAAAGAGTCATCATTTTGCACTCTAAAAATGGATGGGGAAAAAAAAATGAATTATCCAAAGCCAAGAAGATTAAAATGTACATTCTGGTGCTAAAAATGCTCTATAAATGTATTTTTTAAAATATATTTATCAAATATCAATAAATTGATATTTATTGAAAGTAATTTTCCTGTTTGCTAGCAACAATTTTCCTGTTTGCTAAAAATATATTTCAAAACATCTGAAAACACTTTTATAGCTAAAAATTCTCCTAAGGACAATTAGAATCAGAAAAATTCTACTAATAATTCTACAGCACTAATATTTGGGAATTAAGGTTCTTGTATATAGTGCATATATGGTACTTTAAAAGAGCCAAGTACCGAGTCTGCATTAATAATAAAACCTGCCAACATACATGACTATTTCAGAAAAGTAGGCATCTGTTATTTTTGAGCTGTATTTGATCTGTTCATAATTACATTATACAAAGCTATTTTGGTAAATAAATTTATTTTGTTTGTTTATTTCTTGTGTTGTTTTCTTATTGGGGAGGCAGGAGGGGAGCAGTTTCTGCTATACCTGTGGCAATTTATTATACTTTCAGAAGTATAGTCAGTATTCTTCTCAGAAGAAGCAAAATTATAATATGACGTAAAAAATCTTTAAACAGAAGATTATTGATCCTGATTTATACTTCGTATCTTAGTTTATTGAATAACAATAGGTGGCTTGGATTTGTTACTGTTTTCTGAAAGGTGGTGCATAACTGGTATTTCACATGTTCTACATTTCAAATATATATACAATCAGATATTAATTCTGTTATTGATTTATTAATTGAAATTGAAAGACTGACTGATTTTAATCTTTAAAAAAATATTTTAAGTAGAAAATTATAACTTTTTCAGATATTTCCCAGGACAGAACTCCCTACATATGTGAGTCACTGGGATAGTTTCTCAGGTGCCTGGAATTTTTTTCACTGAAAATTGATGAATATATTAAACATATTCCTTGCAGGCCTAGATGGTAGCAGGTGATTTGTAATTGATAAAGGTTGTTACTTATGTTATTAAAATTTTCAGTTACTAAAGATGTGCCTGATAGCATGCACTTATGGTAACTTGTAGCACTGTGAACTCACATGCATCATTGTTCTGGGATACATATGCATATTTATTTTTTGCATGGCTAGGTCACCAATGTCTTGTTATTAGTGGGTAATTTTCATTCTTTGGGAATGCAATTAAAAAATACTATCCTCCATAACTGTAAAAATGATGTGAAAAAAACCAACCTACATTTTTATCTGCTTTTTAGAAACTGTTTTATATCATCAAAGTATTTGTTTTGTTTATTACTGAATAGATGCTAATTCCGACGCACAGATGTAGACTTCACTGTATAGCTTACATCTCTATAACCTAAGCATTTAATATTTATTATTTTCCTTCTTACACTTCTCCTAATTTTCTGTATCAAGACTCATACTCTGTCATCAGGAAGAAATAAACATGACTTTAAAACAAAAGTAAATGATAGAGGAATGTACTGTAGGCAGATTGTTCCATTTGTGGAAAAGTCTTACAGCTGTATAGGAAAATGAGGTTTTGGAATTCATTTTCTTTCATGTATGACATCTTTGACTACTAAAAGACACTCAAGGCTGAGAGGGACTTTCTTTGTATTTGTTGTATAGCAGTCATTCTGTTTAGCTGGATCTTTTTCGAGTTGTTCACATTTTGTGCGTAAGCAAACTGTCTTATGGAATCTTGGTACCTTATCTGTTAAAGCAGCCATGAAAAAATATTCAGTTCTAGAAGGAAGATAGTTTAGATACATCTACATGAGTATCCGAGTTAGGATCAGGAGTGCACTTTAGGAGCAAATCCTGCTGTGTTGTTGTTCCCATTTACTGTATTTTGCTTTGAGTTGCTTCAAACATTTCTTTGATGATGAAACTGAAAGAGGGTAAATGTAGGTTAGATGTTAGGAAGAAATTCTCACTCAGAGAGCAGTGAGGTGCTGCAATGGTTTGTCCAGAGAAGTTTTGGATGCCCCATGCCTGGGGACATTCAAGGCCAAATTAGATGGGGCTTTGGCAGCCTGACAGTGGGTGGCAACCCTAGTCATGTGGGGGGTTGAAACTGGGTCATCTTTAAGGTCCTTTACAACACAAGCCATTCTATGATTCTGTTAGTCTACAATTCAATGAATAGTAGAGTGATTCTGGAGCCTGTGAAATTGGACTGCTTTCAAGCAAAATTAGAGCAGGCATTCTGCAAGAGCATATTTAGTGCACAAAGTTGACCCTCTGACAGAACAAGAAAACTGAAGTTCATATGAAGCTTTGAAGTGTAGATATCACATTCAGAGCTCTCTTACTGTACAAATGTGCTCCTAAATGCCCACAATGTTTGCAGATTTAGCCATGGCATGTAATTTCCCTCTCATTTCTTGCAACTTAAGAACTGAATGCAACCCACCAATATAAAACAGCCATATTGCCATCAGTTTGAGTTACCAGTATGTTACTTAAAATTGCTAGTCAAAATAAAAATAAAAAAAAGCAGCCTTAGTAATTTCCCAAGTACTACTGAACAGTTACTGAAAATGTTTGTGCATTTGTATGTTTATGTAATGTAAATGTTTATGCAAAACTATATTTTGTGCATTCACTTACTGTAGGCATTATTAAAATTGCAACATTTTCAATAAGAGTTCTGAGAAATTAAGAGTATATGGATCTGCTGAAAAAAATTGATTTGCTGTGGTAGAGCGTAAAATCGATTTGTAAATACATGAAAATACATGAAAATGAATGTCTTCAATTCATTGTCATGGGCATTTTGCTGGAAGATTAATGTAATTTTTAGAAGTATCACTAGTTGAGGAAATATGCTCACCAAAAAATGCTTATGAATGATAACAGAAATTATGGAAATTTAGAATTATTAAGTATGCTATCTCAGCTCTTTAGTAAAATTGATTCTTCTTTAAAATGTTATGTGAAATCACAGAGCAGAAATTGTAATATAAACATTATTGATTTTAGTGTTAATGTGAATGATCTTATTTATCTTTATTTGTTCACTCAGGATATACAGTTGAAACTGAGGAAACCAAAACTTGATGAACATAATGAAATTGACCCAGTGGAAGAAAGAAGAAACTTGAAAGAAAAAGCATCTATTGTGGCACAGTGTTTAGAACGCAAGGAGGAGAGAGTGCGAAATCATGCCAAAACACGTCAGAGTTTTATCTCTGCTGAGGAGATGGGTGTGGGAATGGCTGACCTGTGCCATAGATCGCAGAAACCACCAAAAAAAACCAAGAACAAAACAAACAAAAATACAATGGAATTAGATAACAAACTGCCATCAAATGTGATTCAGGAATTAAATACAGTGCTGCAGAAAAACAGAACACTTCATGATGATACATCCAGCTGATGTCCTGAGTCTGAAGTTTAGAATATATATTTTCTGGACAAAATTATGTGGCTTTTTTAGCGTGTATAGTTTGTACAGTGCAGAGAAAACTTGTTTATATACTACTGTTGATTTTGTGAGTAAGCCATGGTACAATTTAAGATTGAACTGAGCTGATTTTGCAAAAGTTCTGAAATTTGTTTTGCTGTGTGATACACTGGAACCTGGGTTTTCTCTGCCTTTTTTTTTTTTTTTGTTGTTATTGCATATTTTGTTAGATGGAAGAATCGTAAGCACTATCAAAAGCTCTTGCTCTGTTTATATTCTGTACCATCCTGTAAGTAGTGGTGGGAGATTTTAGAATGAAGACAAGATGTACACTGAAATTCATGCTGTTAACCTACAATATTTTATTTAACACTATAAAAATGAGTAACATCTGCTTAAGTGTGATTTTTTTTTTTGCATATAAATTTTTTTTATTTAAGAATGTCATGAGTCTTATTCCATAAATTTGTCCTCAGAGCAACATGAAATGAATTAAAATGGAGAGGGGTACAATAGATAAGGCAATGCGTTAGTTCAATGAATTTGCATCTCTAAACTGTGTCTATATTGTGTACATCTGACTATGATATTTTTTAGAATTACTTATGTTGTTACTGCATTTCATCCCATATAGGATCAATTTATCCTCTCTCCTCTTTCTGGTAATTACAGGTGCCATAACATTTCTCACATCAGTTACTTCTATTCTTGATTGCATTGAGGAACTTAATTGAAAAAATAATTTGTTTGAAGAAATTAGACAAATTATTCAATGTATCTGGTAAATCTGTTAGTAAGTAGAGCAGAAGTGAGATTAAAATCAAACGTTATATAGTGTTTTTTATTTATTCTTCTGGCACATAGCACTGAGAAAGGAAGTTTTGTCTTTCAGACTTTGCACTTATCACATTTAACCAGTTGTTAAATCTGAAACGAGATTGTACATTTTAATTTTCCCAGTGCACTATTGACTGTTTTGCTACTTTTAATTCGTAGTTGAGCCTCTTCTAATCATTGAAGCTCTGGCTTAAGAAAACATATAAGCCAGAACTTAAATTGTATTGACTAAAGCCTGTGCTTAATGTTAATAAGCACATTCCTAAATGCCAAACTGAATCAGGGCCTGCTGCTGTTGGGGAGAGTTACTTTGCTTTCTGTCTTAGGCTGGACCTGAATGTACTGTTTACAGTTGTATTTTTACTTGCAAATATTTTTCAGTATTGAGTTATGGTTTCTGTATTGTTTATCTTTCTACTGGGTTCTTAAAAATGACATTCACCTCACTGCTGAAAGCCTCATGCATCATTTAAGCCCTACACTAATGGAATAAATGGAGCAATAGAAGGATTTTGTGCACTGGAGTGAAGAAGTCTGTGAAGAGAATGTTTTGTTTATTTTTATTGGATCTGAGGACTACAGAAACATTTGTTCTACTTCAAAAGCAGGCCTCAAATAAAGTATCTGTAGGGCTACTATTAAAGGGACCTAAAAATCAAGAAGAAAATATGTTTACTAAAATATATTTAAGTGTTTACTTTTCAGTTACAGCTATACTATCTTTAAAGCTGTTGAATCCTCAGTGGAAACGTTGTTTCAGTAGGTACTATAAATATTTTGTTTTGTATATGTATATGTACATGCATTCTCACTATATATGTATATTTTTGCATAGAGTTAGGTGCATATCTGCAGAGGCATGCTGAATGTTGACAGTGCTAACCTGAGGATAGTTCTTTTGGGAAAGTAGATATTAAATTTTCAGTTGGGTTATTTCAAATGCAAAAAAAAGTTTTGCACCAATTTCCTGACGTATAATTCTTGCACTACGCGTTTCAGACTGCTTTAAGACCTGCAAGAATAAATGTTTTCTTGCAATACCTTGATAGCTACTGATGCTTTATTGTTCTTCTGACTTGTGGAATGATAGTGTAATTTTCAGGGAATAAATGTTAATTATTTGAATAAATACTGTTTCTTTAAAATAAATGATGGATTTATTTAAAAAAAAAAAAAAAATCTGTACCCACTGCATAGCCTAGTGAGTATTTATTGTCTGATCTGCAAAATGAGGTTAAATGAGGCACTGACATTGTTCATTCTGTGACAGTAGGAAGGCTAGAATTAAAGTCTCAGTAACTCTCAGGTTCATCATTACTTTGGCATTTTAAGTGAAAAGCTGATAGGTAAGCAAGATGTGTATTTAGTTTGAAAATCACTATTTTGGATTTTTTTTTTTTTTTTTTTTTTTTTTTTGAGACAGAAGTTTTTCTAGGTATTATTTTGGGTTTACAGTTCAAAAGAGAATTTTCAGTTAGTTAGTTTTGTGCATCAGCAGAGATCCCTTTAGTGTGGGGTCAAATTGACTAGCTGAAACTTAAAGATAAATTTGTGTACATCCCCCTTCTTTAGTTAAAGGGAGGGTTTGGCTGTATTGTTTGTTTCTTGTCTTCGTTTTATTTCTTTATTATTAAAAACTCTGGGCTGCTGTGACTGAAGTGTGTTGCAGGGATTCCATTGACTTCTGTCTTCCATGCAACAACACCCCTGGCGTCTCTTCCACTAGTGCATGTATTGTTTTGGCTACCCCGCAGATATAGGTTCTTCAGAGAATAAAAGTTGCCAGTGTTTTACCTCACTTCTGGGACTCTTCTTTCCCCTGATATAGTGGTTGGCACAATTCATGTTCCTCAGTGCTGCCAAGTTACCACCAGTCCCACATATCAAGTTCCAGATTAAGGAACTGGGAGGAAAAAACCTTCACTGTTCTGTTGTGGATGGTGGTGGTGTCAGCTGGAGTCTGGAGGTAAGGATTACATACATCACTGGCTGAGGTGCTGCCTTGTGAGCCTGCATTGTCATGTCACCTTTCTGATTTTTATATCCTGTTTTCCTATGCAAGCTCTTTTAGTGTAAGAATCAGTTTAACTGTTGCTGACAGCTGAATTAGAAGAACATTGGTTGTGCTTGAGTCCCAATGGAAACTGAATTAAAAAAAAACTCAAGTACTGACTGTGATCAAAGTGTGCTCTAAAAATTACATTGGATTTAGGCAAATTATGGCAAAACTGTGATTTCAGTAAATTGCACTGAAAAACCTGAACAGTGTGTGTGTCTGAGGCAGAAGCAGATTACTTTGGTGGATGGGTGGATGAAATGTATTCCAAGTTGAATTGCTTAGAAAAAAATATATACTGATTTATAAAATGAAGTCTACTGCAGAAAGATGAAATAAGGAGAATCAGAATGCTTAAATATGATTTGGTCAGTATTCCTTGTTCTGAATCATTAGAAATAAATATTCTCTGTACTTTTGTATGTCAAAAAAAAAAAAAAACCAAATCTTTGCCATATTCAGTGTTTCTTAATCTAGATTGTTCTCTAAGAACTGAATGGGGAGAACTGAACTGGGGGGGGGTGGGGGGAGGGGAGTAGAGGGAGTGTAGAGTGGAAGCTTTGCAAAGTTTTCTTCATGGTTCACATGATTTTCGCATGTCCTTCTTTCCTTGCAATTCCACTGCACATGGACTTCATCTACAGCTTATTTAATAAAAACAATCCTGCTATTTTAGTCCTTACAATTGCATGGTGTAGCAGAAATGGGCTTGAAGCAGTGATTGAGCAGCTGGTGGGAAGGCAGGGCCAACTCAGGGGAGCTCAGGTGCATGCAATGCACCTGTGGAGCATTTTAACAATGAAGCCAGGAGCCACCCCTTCCCAGACCTCATTTAAGGGTTGACAGTGGAGACTAGGGTATCTCTATGGAAATCCCTGCCTACCTGCGGCTTCCAAAGGTAAGCGAATTTTCTACCTTTGCTTTTGCATCTACAGCTACTGTATTTGGGCTTGTCTTCATTTGCTGAAGCCACAGACTTCGCCACCCTGCTATTATTGCTGTACTTTCCATCACATTATATCACTACGTACGGTTAAATATATGATTACTTCTTTGATAACATTTATGTTAAGTTTGCTACTTGTTTATACTAGAAAATCATTGCAATTTCTGACACTGAAGAGGAATAGGGATGTAGACTGCAGATATTCATGTCATTTTTAGGAGGCAAATGTCCATTTATTTTAATTCACTTGAGTTCTGATGTCTTAGGGAGCTTTAGTACTTGCTTAGCCCATCTGATTTTGTGTGCTTCATGTTTTTGATCCTATTTTGTATTGTAGACTATGAGGCATCCTGATCTTTAGGTTGGCGTCAGCACACGCTCCCATTCTGCTTCTTTACATGATGTGTTCTTGATTTGCTCTTTAATTTATAACTCAAACTTTAGCCATGTTTTCTTTTAGATCTCGTAGTGTCTTTGGCTGTTGTTTCTGACTTGATTCAGATGTCTGTTACAGTCAAACTCACTTGATTAAGCTTGCTTTAACATTCGTTGTATGTCCTGGTGGAGATCTTCTCAGATTTTTCTTATGGAGACAGGGATTTCACTGAACTGAGCAAGAAAGGAAAAGGTTAAATTTGCACGTATAAGTGTTATGTATAGGCATATGGTTCTGTAACCCATTTCTGTGAAGGCCCCTGAAATTTTGCATATTTACATTTATAGTCCACAGCAAATCAGAAAACAATCTAAAGTAAATGCACTAATATTTGCCTTTTAAAGTTATTTTACTTCAGCGACTTAATGATTCTATAATATGTATTGTGCCTTGTAATAAGAAAATGCAATTTCTTGCAAATTATACCTTTGGTTACATAAACAGGAAAGCTTTTTCTTTCAGAACTTAATTAGCATTGGCTTGTCCAGTACAGCAGAATATTTAAGAACTAATAGCTCAGGATAATCACAGAATCACAGAATCACCCGGGTTGGAAGGGACCTCAAAGATCATGTAGTTCCAACCCCCCTGCCTAGCAGGGCCACCAAACATACACATTCAGATCAGGTTGCCCAGGACCCCGTCCAACCTGGCCTTAAACATGTCCAAGGATGGGGCATCCACAACCTCCCTGGGCAGCCCGTTCCAGGGCCTAACCACTCTCCTAGTAAAGAACTTCCCCCTAACATCCAACCTAAATCTTCCCTCCTTCAACTTGGATCCATTTCCCCTAGTCCTGCTGTTGTCAGCCGTTTTGAAGAGTTTACTCCCCTCCTGGGTGTAGGTTCCCTTCAGGTATTGATAGGCTGCAATGAGGTCACCCCGCAGCCTTCTCTTCTCCAGGCTGAACAAGCCCAACTCCCTCAGCCTGTCCTCATAGGGGAGGTGCTCCAGCCCCCTGATCATCTTAGTCGCCCTCCTCTGGACCCTCTCCAACAGCTCTCTGTCTTTCTTGTACTGAGGGCTCCACACCTGGACACAGTACTCCAGATGGGGCCTCACAAGAGCCGAGTAGAGAGGGACAATCACCTCCCTGTCCCTGCTGACCACCCCTCTCCTGATGGAGCCCAGGATCCCATTTGCCTTTCGAGCTGCCAGAGCGCACTGCTGGCTCATATTCAGTCTCTCGTCCATCAGGACCCCCAGGTCCTTCTGTGCCGAGCTGCTCTCAAGGACTACTCCTCCCAGCCTGTACAGGTGCCTGGGGTTCCTCTGGCCCAAATGCAAAACCTTGCACTTTGCCGTGTTGAACCTCATTAGGTTCACCCGAGCCCAGCCCTCCAGCTTGTCGAGGTCCCTCTGAATGGCATCCCTTCCTTCCACTGTATCAACCGCACCACTCAGCTTGGTGTCGTCAGCAAACTTGCTGAGGGTGCACTCAATTC